TACAGAGAAGAGGAAAATGAAGCTGTGAAAGGGGAAGCCACCACTGGGGGAAACCCCAGGAAGGCCCCAGAGCCTCCTATGAACAGAACACGACCCCAGCTGAGCCTGGAGGACCTTTAGGAAGAGGCCCAAGGGTAAGGGCTGTCTACTGAATTTGGGAAGCCTGATCAGTCATGGATGCTACTTGTTTCCAAGTTTCCTGGAGGAAGAGGCAGCTTATGTCAACCTTGGACTAAGATGTGCTGGAATTTGAGGTGAGGCCTCCCCATTCCCACTGAGACCCTTCTGGGTTCTGACTGCAGTTTCCTTCGTCTTTGCTCAACCCTCCCTCATCTGTGTTTTTTTGTCCCCCCTCCCACCGCAGCCCATTCTGACTGCCTCCCTCCATTCCCGTCTCTCCGTCTCTCTGTCCCTTCCCCTCTATCCTGACTCCTCTCCATCCATCCTGCCATGCAATACCTTCCTTTTTCCCCTCCTGCATTCCTCTTCCTGCACCCCTTAGTCACCACCTTGCTGACCCTTGCCCTGCACCCCAAGTCTCCAGGTCCCTAAATTCCCTGGTCCCTTGGGAAGAGTGAATAAAAACATCTAAGGAGTCTGTGGATCTCCAGCCTTTCCTTGTCTGGAATGTGGGCCTTCAGGTTGAAAATTGTATTCCTTTCTTTTTGTGACTGATCAGGGAGAAATGGAAAAGAAGAAAACAGGAAACAGAAGAGCTGTTTTCGCAAGCGCAGAATGAAGTGACATAAAAAGGGATTTTATGAAAATTCTCTGAAAATAATTTTATTTTACGATGCCATAACGATGTCCAGCCCCGCTGCCTTGGCTCACTGGCGCAGTGTGCAGCAGCTGTGCATGTGCATACCCACCAGGCCTGGTCCTGCCTACCCTGATTTCTGCCTGACTCAGAGAACCCTATAGCTCCCATCCCTTAGCTCAGTCGGAAGATCTGAATTTGTTATTCCTGTCTATCTGTAGCCAGATGTGCCAGGGCTTCCCACTCTGAAATATTTGGCTAAAGTCAGCTTGAACACCAACTCCTTGGCTGGGACTCAGAATGCTCCCAGGGGTTGTGAATCGCCTTGGGGCTCATGCACAATGACCTTGGCCTCCAGCTCCATCACTGAACTTGCAGCCTCTGCCTGCCTGTGCCCACTTAGATATGGAAATCAACCCCTTCTGTAGTCCCCGTCCCCACTCTACACCAGCAAGGAGACTACTGGAGCCTGGCAGGGCAAGTGGCCTTGGGTTCTTATGGCTGACTTGTGGGAATGACCATTCACGGGTTTTCTTTCCATGGACAAGAAGTTTCATTCTGTCGTCCCAGCTCCTCACTTTTTGCTATAGTTTGGATTTTGTTTGTTTTTTCAGTACTGGGAATTGAACCAGGGCTTTCACTGAGCTACATCTCCAGCCATTTAGAGTTTTGAGACTGGGTCTCATTAAGTTGCTAAAAAATTATACTTACCTGGAAGGGGAGATACCACAATCACGAAGTTGCTAAATTGCCCAAAGTGGGCCCAAACTTCTTCCCTCCTGCCTCAACCTTCCAGAGTTTGGGGCTGCAGGCATGAACCACTGAGCCTGGCCTATGCCTTGGATCTTAAGTGCTCCCTCAAAGGCCAGCATGTTAAAAACTTGATCCTCAGTGTGGTGCTGTTTGGAGGCAGAGAAACTTTAAGAAGTAGGCCTAGTGGGAGGTCTCTGGGATGTGCTCTCGAAGGGGATTTTGGGATCCCCCCACCTCGTTTCCCAGCCGTGAAGTGTGTAGCTGTGTGCTACTACACATTTCTGCCCTGATGTAGTTTATTTACACACCAAAGCAGTGGTATGGACCAAATGCCTAAGTCCAAGGCCTTAAATCAATAATGGACTGAAACCTCTAAAAGTGAGCCGTATTAACCTTTGCTCTTTATATGCTGGTTTGTCTCACGGATTTGTGGTCGTAACAGAAAGCTGGCACTTCTCTTCCTTCTGCCTCTCAAGTCTATCTTTGCATTAGCCACTTTCCCATTATTGGGACACAGGACCCAACACCCACGATGTAAAAGAAGAAAGGTTCACTTGGACTCACAGTTTCAAAGGATTCAGTTCATGGTCAGTCGTCTTCAGGGCAGGAGCAAAGCAGAGCAAAGATGTTTAGTTCACAGTAATTGGAAAGCACAGCAGGAGAATAAAGGCAGGAGCACATGTAGTAGCCAAGGTTACAGCTCCATGACCCACCTAGGCTCACCCAGAAGTGCACCTTACTAATCCCCTGGGAGTTTCTTAGCACAGTCAAGATGACATATCATTAATGATAACAAGTTTCTCTTACTCTCCTTTCCAGGAGCAAAAGATAGAATTTTTCTTGTTGGTCACAGAGAATATCTTCCTTTCACCTCCCTGGAGATGGGAGAAGCTGAATTGTCTTCTGATCTCAAGCCCAGAAGGTGACTTTTCCAACAAATATGTTGCTCTTTCTAAAAGAAAATTTAGTAAATACGATATGCCCTACTTTCTTTCCTGTGTGTAAGGAGGCTGAAGTCTAGTGAGGGGCAAAGCTTGTCCAAGGACACACGGTAAGTAAGTCTAACTCAACTAGGACTGGGGGTCAGAGGTCACAGACCATATTCTGGAAATCTGTCTGCAGTGCCCCTGCAGGGACAGACTGCAGATTGCTAGCTATACAGCTAAGGAGAAGGAGGAAGGACACAGAAGGCACTACAAGCCAGGTGAGAGAGAGTCAGAGACAGACTGACTGAGGCAGCTAAGCAGCCTGACCTGGAGTTTCCCCTTGGGTAGTTTTCTTCCTCATTGAACAGACCTCCCTATACCTGCACCCAGGGTGCAACTCTGAGAGAGCCATTTACAGACAGGGTTTGTATGGGGGCTGACTCTAAGGACCTCTTTTTATTTCAGGAGGCACTGCCTGGAGCAGGGTAGAGGGGATGAGGAGGCTACAGGGCAGGAATTCAAACCCTCAAGGATATTAGCACACACAGGTGCCCCTCTTGCCACCTATTGTCATGTGAAGAGCAGTTGTTATGGACTCAGATGTGACTCTTGTTCCTTCAATCACCAGTCCATTCTGTCTGAGATCCCCTCCCTGAGCTGTAGCTCCTTTTCCAGGGAGTTCTGGAGATGAGACTGGCTTCCAAGAAAGATTGGGTATCACTGTGCCCTGAGTTCCTGGGCAAGTGGATGTCAGGGGAGCCTCTGGTGTGGAGGGGCAGCGCTGGTCCACTGCAGGAACATCACAGTATTGATGTCACCTTGGAAGACCTTTGTGTAGTAGTGCATTCTTTAGAGCTGAATCCATTGATGCGAAAAAGCTCTGGGCCTGGCTCTCCATGCTGGATCTCAGTTGGGTCCTGCCTTCTCCTGCCTGGCCTGTGAAATGTGGGTGCCAACACCTTCCTTGCCCAGTTCACACACGGCAGCACAGACTAGCTAGTGAGGAAGTGAATCAGTTTGGCACCTGACTACTTGGGTTCCTATCCTGGTCCCAGCATTTACAAGTTGTGTGATCATAGTCGAGTTACTTAACCTCTCTGTATCTCAGTTATTTCATCTATAACATGGAGATAAGGATTAGCAGTTGTGAGAATTAAATGACTCTAGAATTAAATGGTTAGAACATTGCCTGATGCATAATAAATTTGCAGCAAATATTAGCTTTCAGTTGTATTATTAATACCCTTTGTCTTGAAATGGGGCACCATGTGCAGTTCTTATAGCCCTTAGTGGGGCTCTGCAGAACTCACTGAATTGTGCTGGTGAAAGCTCTGGGGTTTTATAAGAACTTTTCCACTCCAGACCTTTTAGACCTGATCTCCCTTGCCCTAGGTTCCAGGGACTGTTCCTGGTAGAAACTGCACTTGGGCATCCTGTGTAGATCCCAGGAGCTAACAACTGAGGTCTGAGGTGCTGCGCACTGATATAAAGCATCGGCTCTGTTTTGTCTGCATCCTTCCCGTCTCTTGTCTTTCCTTACTCCTCATTCTTCCACAAGTGCCCAGTCTGGGCAGTGTCCATATAGTGGATATCAGTTTCTGAGCTTGAGCTGACACTACAGAAACACACAGCTGTGGTCTTGGCCAGCAAAGCCAAGAGAGAGGGCAAGTCCATGCAGATCATTTTATTTTTATTGGTACCGGGGATCGAACTCACGACCACGCACTTGCAAGGCAGGTGCTTATTCCACTGAGCTAAGACCCCAGCCCCATGCAGATCATCTTAATCAGGAGTCTGAAATAGGAACGGCACTGTGGGGGCAGGGAGGAGTGATTACCTGGGCCCAAGGAGGTGGGGACTTCATGGAGGTGGTGTTGCTAAAGCTGGGTCATGTAGGATGTGTAGGAGTCCAGCAGGGTCAAGGCGCAGCAGGAAAGAGGTGGGAGGGTTGGGTGCACTTAGAGCCTGGGAAGAATCTCTGGAGTGTTGGATTCTGGTAAACGAAGCAGTGAGAGGTGACTCTGATGCTGGAGATACACGCAGGGGCTAGGTCTTAGAGGGTTTCTTGTGACCTTTGTTAATGGTGCTGGGAGACACAGAGGAATTTTTAAAGCAGGGAGGGATGTGATCATTTCTGTGGACTGTAGAGGTCTCTTCAAGTAGGGCTGAGTGGATGGGAAGGGGCACAGGTTGGGGGTAGTGGGTCTGATGATGTTGGTTCAGGGCAGAGGCATGGGATGAAGTGGGTACAATTGCTGTGGAACAGCCACAGGCCATGGTGAGTGAGGCAGTGAGTGAGAGGGGGCCCCACAGTGAACCCCAGGTCCTAGCTGTCTTAGTGCATTTGTACGGTTCCCACTGGCTGGTAAGGGCTGCCTGTGCCGCTCTGGTGTGAGGTCCTTCGAGCTATCAGGCCTCCCCTCAAACCACCTTCCTGGCCTTGCTTGAGCCTGTGCATGGAAAACAGGCCCATTCCGTACCTGGACACCTCTCCTGCAGATTTTGCAGGACAAGTCCCTGGTGAGAGGAGGAAGGAGACCACAGCACAGAGAAACACCAACCTGTCCAGTTTGTAATGGCTTTTATTAATAATATATTATGCTACAAAAATATTTTTGGCAAAATAACATTAATAACATCTTTCTTTGTCTTCTATTATATTCTTAAAGAACTCTTCATAATTCACAGCGGTGAGGAAAGAGGTGATTAAAAAGAACAACACCACGAGTACCTCCAGATACACTGACAGCAGAAGCTTGTGTGGCACAGAATGGCATGCTGGGGGCTATTGGAAATTTCTATGAGCCTCAAGGAGGGGCTATAGCCTGCTTTGACTAAGAACTGACCTTCCCACCCTAGCTACCAGGGTCGCAAAAGTTCTGAGCCCTTTGTCTGGGCAGCTCACAGGGGACATCTTAGACTTGGGCCGCGCAAAGCTCACTTTCCCACAGTGGGACTCAGTGGAGGAGTCAGCAAGTCTTGTCATCCTTCCTGCACGCCACAGACTCCCATCTCAGGGCAGCTGTGGTCCTGGGGGGAAGCCTAACCCTGAGTCTGGGGAGGCTTGAATCTCACCTTTACAGGTCCTCCACACTGTCCCCTGCATCCTCCTTCCTAGCCCGAGGAAACAATGTCTCTATGTGACAGATGAGGAAATGGAGGCTCCAGGGGGCAGGGACTTGCCCAAGGTCACCTATCTAAGTGAAGTATCCAGAGTATCTCTGGAGAGCAACAGTCCAGCTCACCTTTGAAAAAAGGGTATGTACAGGGGACATTCCGTGGAAAGGACCCGGTAGGGCCTAATCAGGTTTTGTGAGTCTTGTCTGCACTCCCTGAGGTCAGGGGACAGAGACAAGGAGCTCTGGGCTGTGCCAGCAGCTAGGCTCCAGGGCAGCACTCTCCCACTTCCCCAGGGTCCCCCTGCCCAGGCCAGCAGGCGGCTCTGCCAGCTCGCAGCAGTCCTGGCTGGGCAGTTGAAGAATGAGGGCGGGGTGTGGGGCGGGCTGAACTAATTCCTGAACCCTGCTAGTTTAGACAGCCAGCTGGGGTGATATTTTTGGCTGCCTAGATGAATTTTTTGAAAAATAACAATGTTCAAAGAGCTTGAGCATTACAGAGCCAGGAGGCGCCCTCAATGTCATCGACACCAGTCCCCTGCCAAGACTTCAACTTGCTACCACATCTCCAGCCAGTGGACTCCTGGCCCTGCCTATACTTCTCCACCAGCAGAAAGCACCTTGTCTTCAGGCACCATTCTCCACCAGCTTGGGCTTGATGGAAGCTATTCCATTGCAGAACTAAATCTGTCTCTCCCTTCCTACTGTCATACCTTTCTTCCTTTTCTCTCTTTCCTTCTTGCCACCCCTGTGAGAGCACCACCTTTGTGACTTCTGCCGTAAAGGCCCACAGGGGAGCAAATTCACAAGCAGACAGTGGTAACGTGGGAAGAAGCTATTGTGAGATGCTGAGAAAGCACACAGGAAGTACAGGGGGGCTCTTGAGGAGTGCTGAGTTGATCTTTACAGGATAAGATGTTAGGGGGACAAAAGGGAGCTTTGGTCTAGGAAGCAGCATGTGTGGAATATTCTGTCTAGTTTGGAAGTGACAACTAGGATTCCTTTTGGTCAGGCACAGGTTGGGATAAATGAGACATAGCTGGCAAGCTTAGTAGGGCCACATCATGAGGTTCTAGAAGAGCCAGTAAAGGACTCAGGTTCTTATGTCACCACCATTAAAAAACTATCACCAACCTCAATTCTGTCCTGGGCCACACAGGGTACCATCAAAGGTACAACTTCTGAGTAAAACTTTTCTTGTCCTTTCTTGTGCTTTTTGCTCCTCTTGGAGGCCTGTTGTGACATCGGTGCTGGGCTGGAGGATGGGCTGGTGGGATGAGTGGCCTGAACTCCTCAGCTTTCCCTAATCTAAACGGAGCTGAGAAGCAGTTCATCTTGAAGGTAATGTAGTCCAGGTCTTTCAGAATAAGGACAGCTGTACCGGGAGTCAGCAGAGGGACTCTAGATCTTTTACTGTCACTGAAGGGGCCCTCAGCTGCCTGTTGTGACTTCTGAGAAGGCCTACTACTTACTACACCCGTTCAGTGGATAATGGGCTCTCCCTGCTTTCACTGCTGGTGCGTTCGGTCAGTGGCTGGAGACAGGGTCATTGAGACTGGCCCAGGAGAGCTGTTTGACCCTATTGTTAATTTTCCCGAGAGAGAGGGAACCCTGGGCTCCCTGAGGCATGTGAGAGAGGGAACCCTGGGCTCCTTGAGGCATGTGCTGCCTACATTTAGGCAGAACACTTAATACGCTGGGGCACAGGCTTCCTGTCCTTCCTGCCTGCCTCAGGGTCAAATGTGGAAGTGTTAAGAAATAATGCATGCTGCTTTCAAAGGAATGGGCATGTTATGGGCTGAGGCAAGTCTGAATGGCTGCTTACAGAATGGAGGCACTCGGATATGCGGTGAGGATCCTAGTGTCTCCCTGAGGAGTCCTGTTAGGTGCCTCAGATGACAAATGCCAGCAAGCTGAATTCCTCTTAGACTCTGGCTAGCTGGTTGTCCTTGGGATCTGTGGACTTTGGCTGCACCTATGTGACCCACACTGGCTCTGGTTCTTCGCTCGGCACGGGTCTATCTGATTCACTGGCTCATACATCTTTCTTTAAACCCTTGACTGTTTGGGTGAGGGGGTTTTTGGAATTCGTCAATCTACCTACAGGATGGATCTGGAAAGATGAGGACTGAACTGGCCTGAAGCCAGGGGCCAAGACTGTGTAAGCTAGGACACAGATGCTTGTCCCATCTTGTGAGTGAGTTTCTCTCGGCCAGGAGGGGTGGCTACACTCACTCCACGTGCGTCCAGCCTGGCACTGCATGTGTGCCGTAATTACATGCTGTGTTAATTCATCTTTTTGGCCCTGTGCCTGGCACAGTTCTGGGCACACAGTCAGGTGCCTGGCCTGTTTCCCTGAATACTTCATCTTTAATTAACCTCGAGCTTGCTCTCCATACATCTCGGGCCATACTTTGCCCAAACAGAGGGGAATTTGGCCTGTACGTTTCTAATTCCTTTACACTTATCTCATCCCAATAGAGCTCTGCACAATCTGTTTGATGTCCAACTTCCGAGCCTGCTTTGTAAGTCAGCTAAGCCCCATCCCACTCGGAAATAGGAAGTCACATTTTCTTTTTCTTTTTCTTTGCTAAGGATAAACTGACTGTAGCCCTGGCTGAGGTCAAGTTTAGTTGAGAGTATGGTGCCCATGCGGCTGGTTAGGTCCTCTGAAGTAGAGGTCCAGGTTTCTTCTAGGTCTCAGGTTCAAACTTGTCCTTTGGGGCTGAGCTGGAAAAAATTCAGCTGCTTGCCAGGATGTCCGTGGGACCTCTAACTGCCAACACACTGCCCAGAATTCTACCATTTCATCAAGGAGGCAGATGCTGTGCTGGGCATAATGGCACTTGGGCCAATCAGGCCCCATCAAGCTTTCCCAGGAAATCTATGTACAGTGAGGCAGAGAGACACTAGCTGGAGGCAGTGGGCCTGCCCAGCTGTGCTGCCTCAGGGACGTGATTCCCTCTCTATCCTCACTGTTTCCACGATCTGCTAAGTGAGGGATCTTTCCTGCTCTCAGGATCTAGGACTCTGTATGTAATTAGAGAGCCACCAGCCCAGCTGAAGGTTTAGGGCTGGACAGGGCCACCTCTGGCTTCAGCCATCACCCTAGGAAATGGAGAGGCCAGTAAAGTCTTCTGAGTCTCAGCTGCCTGTCTCGTGCCACTGGTTGCTCTGCCTCTTAGGGACTCCAAGGCTGTGCCCTACCCTCCCCTTTGATTTGACAGGAAAGCTTTCCCTGGATCCAAAATGTGATAAGTTGGGGGACCTGAAAAATAGCACATGCTATTGTCACAGCCCTTTGGTTTCAAGGACACCAGAGTACCCAGTATCTTTGGCTAACCTGGAGAGCTGGTCCCAGGGTGTTGGAGCCTTCCTGGGCAGAGAATATGTCAGAGAACACAGACCATAACACAAGGGTCACTGGTATCATACTGATCTGAAGCTGTGTGACCTTAGGCAAGTCCCTTTGCCTCTTTGTGGGGTACATTTCCCCCATCTGGGAAATGGGGGCCTTCATACTTCACAGTGCTAGTCTGAGGAGCCACGATGCAGTGAATATGCAAAATACTCCCTGACACTGCAGGGTTTGGACAAACAGCCATTCTCATCGCCACTGTCATTATTGTAACTGGTGACCCTTAGTGTCCCTCTCCCTGGAACTGTCCTCTGTGCCCACTCCTGTCCTTTGGCCCAGCTTATTCCACTCATCTGTGACTTCCACAGCGCCTCTGATCCAAGTCGGAGTGAGGACGGCAGGACAGAGAGGCCCGCAGCTACCTGCGCACCCGCTCTGTGACCTTGGGCAGCTCCACCTTGCACTCTTTGAATCTCAGGGTAACTATTTGCTGTGTGGGACTGGGGCTGCCTCTCTTGACGCCCGGCACTGCCTCTCCAATCCCACCCCTGCACTTTGGTTGAAACACTCACCTAGCACTCTGGAGGGCCAGTTCACAGATGCTCAGGGGTTGATAATAGCAGCATTCTCTTTCTTTCCATAGCCCAGGATGTATCCCAGGGAGGGGAGGACAGGCAGCATTCACACGACTCCCACATCCAGCGTCACAAAAGCTAAGCCTGTCTGCCTGTCCCATCCTTGGCCATCCCCATGGTGGGGGAGCCAAGTCTGACCCAGAAGGCTCTGGAGATCCAGAAGCAAAGCCAGTGCAAAGCCAGGGTCAGCAGGCCACAGATGTCTCGGCAACCTGGATTCCTCTTTGGGTTGGTATTAGGGCCAATTCAGGGGCTACAACATAGGCCACATAAAAATAGTTTTATCGGTAGAATAAATACATTTTTTCTCTTTTAATATTGATACATATTTTACAAAAGAGCCCCATAGCACTATGGGAAATTAAGACCTTCTACAAAAAAGAAGATGTAACTGGTACAATAAAACTCTAGTTTTCTAAAGGGTCCTGTCTCGACTGCCCTTGAGGTGGTGGCACGCCTGGAGGTGGAGGTAGGGGCCATGGGGTGGTCGCAGACCCTCACGTGATTTCTCTGGCTTCTCTGCATGTGGTGGCCAAGGTCAGGAGGGCCCGAGAGTGTGTAGCAGGAAGGGGTTGGCAATGGTGGCAGCCACAGCAGTGAGGAGGCCCAGGGTCGGCGCCGAGCTGCTGGTGGGCCCTGGCGGGTCCTGTTGTTGGAGCTGGTCAGAGAGCTGGAAGGGAGGCTTGGTGGTCCCAGAGCTGGGGGTGGGCTGGAGGGCCAGTGGCGGTGGTGAGGCAGTGGTGCTAGAAGGAAGGAAAGACACAGCAGAGTGACCATCAGCCTCTTCACCTGGGCAGAGGCCTCTGGGGCTCAGATCTGACCTTATCATATCTGTGTTTTCTCATAAAACAGAGAAAAAGAGGGCCTTGTACATGGAAGACAAGCCACTCAGGGCCACATAGTCACTCTGAATGATCCACGGAAGCTGTGATGTTCCTTCTCCTGTGCCAGGACGCAGGGCTAGCCCAAGGCCACCTGTGACCAATCATCAGAATGTGTCTCAGGTAGAAAGAAATCATAGTGTTAGGGAGGAGAAAGCTGGGAGGGTGGGGGGTGTCTCCAGGGTGCTCAGCTTCCACACGCGTCCTCAGGTTCCCCTTTCCCTGCTGCTGCCCCTCCCAGTGGCTGTCAGCTTCGCCATGCTTGTCAAAGCCACGATTTAGAGAGTATCTCAGGTCCAGAACTTTATAAACAGCGTTTCTGGTCCTCACAACAAATCTTCACCGCGAGTTTCATCATTTCCTCTCAGCAGATAAAACTGAGGCCTAGCGAGGCTACCTGGTTCCCAGGTCACAGGGGAAAGCAGGGTGAAACACGCATGGGCCCAGGGCAGTACACGCACAGGGAGTGGGGGTGAAATGTGCCGCCACTCACAAATCACAAACACAGGAACCAGGTTCAAGGTAACCGGGGAGATATTTGGCTCAGGAACGCTTACACCACAGAGAGGGGAGGGAGGGAGACAGAGAGAAGGAAGAGTGTGGCAGGAAGGCCAGGCGGAGCCCAGGGCGCCTTGGACAGTCAGAGGGGCAGGGCTGAGGAGCAGGGAAGAGATGCAAAGAAAGAGTCACAGGCAAGGCAGGGATCAGGGACTGAGCAAGAGAGGGGACAATGACAGAGGCATGACGAGAGACGCCACAAGGGGAGCCATCTGACAGGCCTGTGGCTAAGAAGCACAGGTTCTGCTATGAAGAAGGGGGCCAGGACCCCAAGAAATGGCCAAGCTTACCCACAGGACAGCCCCTTCAGGCTTGGGCGGGACAGCAGGGGAAGCAGGCACATTAGGTATGGGGGGAGCACCTGTCCCCCAGAGGGCCAGAAAGTCTTCCTTGTGTCAACAGAAAGAGGCAGGAGCTGCTATTACCCCACCTGCTGAGGAAGAACCTGGACATAGAGATTAACTCACCCCAGAATAGATGGCAGGGGTAGGCTATGGAAGTGGACAACCTAGAGACAGGCTGGTAACCGTGAGGGGCCAGGGTGGTCTCCGAGGGGTCTGCAAGGTGGCTGACCACCTTTGAATGGGGCCCTGCTTACATCCTGGTGCTTGCCTCCATTTCTGATCAGCAGCTTGCTCCCTTGATCATCTGGGGGTGTCTTTGTCTAAACCTCTTTTGGGCTGGGCCACAAGGCCAAAACTGCTGGTCATAATCCCTGGGATGAGCCCTGGAATTGCCTCTACTGCAGGCAGCCCATCCTACCGTCCTGGGGCGGGGGTGCCTCTCACACAGCTCAGGCTGAGCCTCTACCTTGGTGGCTGGGCAGGGCAACCTGGAGGTCACCATGTATACCCACCTCCACCAGGCTCAGGCTGGAACCTCGGCTTAGGAGAGGGCACCCGAGTGGTCATGGGCACCGTTTCCTGGTTTGATGGAAGCCAGGAAAGGAAGGAGTCCTTGCCTGCTGCCTGGCTCTCTTTCTACCCTACTTTGGCAGTGCTTTGACCACTAGAACTCATTAGGTCTCTCACAAGGTTCTTTCCAACCTGATGCCTAGAGGTGTGACTATGATGATCCTGTGTCTTTAGAAATTCTCCCAGGAGCCATAGGAGAGGAGGAGTCAACAGAGCACACAACATGAAGTTCCTGGACAGTGTGTGTATGGGGGTGGGGTGGGCTGGGCTAGGTGACTTCCAACCGTCTTGGATCTCACAGTATCAGTGTGCGTTACCTTCCCAGCTGGGCAGTCTTCACATGTGCAATCCATCCTGTCATGACCTTGCTGCAATGTGCTGACCACACTGGTCATGGCTCCCCGACACACACCCTACACCCACAGCTGCTGTGGTCCTACTTTCCCTGGAAGACCTGCCCCCTTGCCCCTTCCTGGGGGCTTACCTGTCCTGCAGCCTTCAGTGCCAGCTGGCAGAGTTAAGACTTCCACCAAATCTCGCACCTTTCTCACTGACCTCACTGTGTGGCAGGCTTATCTCACACAAGGTCTCAATGTGTAAAGTCCTGGAACGCTGCCTGGTCCCTAGGAGGTGTGAGATGATGTCGGCTATTTTTAACATCGTTATTATTTCTATGTCTATATCTCTCCCACTAATAATGTCCCCTCTTTCGGGACCACTTAGTATGTGCTGGCAGATGCTGGACTCAATGCGACACCCGTGTCATTTTCTTATTATTTCTATTCCCATGATGGGCAAACTGGGCTCGAAGTAAGTGAGGTTTCTTGCAAAGTCTCCCCACCTGAGCCATGAGGAAGTGGGTGATGGAGATGTGAAGGGGGTCTAGGTGAAGGCTGTGAGAAGGGAGGGGACTCCACAGCCTCCTTTGAGCTTGGCCCCTGCGCCTGGCCAGGGTCATTACCTCAGTCCCTATCCTGCCATCTTTTCTAATGAAATGAAAAACTAAAAAACACACACAACACCAAACAGTCCATCAAGATCCATTCGCTGCTGCTGCTTGAGGTTTTGGCTTCTAATGCTTTGGCTGAGGTTGAGGGCGGTTTGAGGGTGGTTTTGGGGGAGCAGGCCGGTGCGCCCTGAGAGGTGGCTGGGCTGGGGAAGGTGAGACCAAGTAGGAGTTGTGAAAACTATGTCTCATAAGGCGTCTGAAGACACTTTCTTTTACCCTTTGAAAACTGAAGAAGAACCCCCTCCCCGCCCCCAGAGTCTGAGTGGGGTTTTTATTGCTTGGAAGGAATCCTGAGAAAATGAGGTGGAACTGGGGAGGGGAAAAGGACCCCTAAATGCCCCTGTCCCATTCTGCTCACAAAGCTCAGCTCCCCTGTCCAGATCCCCACCCCCTCCCACGCTCATGCTGGGAAAAACTGCCTCATGGCAAAACGGCCTTGAGGCCAAACCAAATACCCAGAGCATTCCCAGGCTCTGCAGAAGACTGGCACTGTGGAGCCAAGTCTGCTCTGAGCCGACAGGGCCCCTCGGCCTCTGTGGAAAGCAGAAACTCCTCGCCAGCTTGGGTTATGCTCCTGGTTTGCTGTGAGACTGAACAAAGGCTGTCTTCCTGGCCTCAGTTTCCCCACATCTACAATGACGGAGCAGGAACAGAGCCAGAGACATTAAACTGTGTTCCAGTGGCAAGAGACAGAATTGGGGTGTTAGGCAGAAGTCCAAGGGAGAAAGCACAGAAAATCAAGACTGGTGCTGAGACAGGGATTGTCTGCCCCCAAGGTCCCTGAAGAGGGCAGCCTAGAGTAGGGGTGAGTCTCAGCATGCAAGGTTTCCAAGACTGAGTGGTCCAAGGTTAAGTGTTGGACATCACAGCCTTGAATTGCTTGCCAGTACAAGCACCTAGTGTCTGAGCCTGGGGAAACCTTCCTACAGAGCTTCAAGGAGCTGTGGAAGAGATAAGCCTCGTAGTGTGTAGTGCCAGGATGACAGGAGTTTGCTGCAGGAAGTAGAGCCCTCCATGTGACCTGGCTGGGGAAACCCCATGTGATAACTGTCTGGGCCTCAGACTCTGGGTCCAGCAGGTCAAACAGAGGCAGAGATCCAATGTAGCCAGTCTGCCTAAAGCCTGATCTCCTGTAATCTGTGTCTCAGCAACCTTGTCCTCAGGTCTCCTGCACATGGGAAGCTTTCACCTTTTTATGGGCCTGAAGACCCATAAGCAGACTGTCTGGCATGATTCCTAAAAGTTCTACAGAAGACCAGACCTGGAAGGACCTGTCTAACCCTGAGATGGAAACCTGGGATCCAGAGAGATGAGAACTTTCAGGGTCATCCAGGACCTGAGGTTCTAGAGTTTTTTCAATGACATTGTACTGAGGAGTCATTTGTCCCCATACCCACGCTGCACTAACCACAGGACTAGGCAACTGATATGTGCATCTATACCTACCACACACAAATGCCCGCCTTTGTTAAGCGAGGGAGAGTTCCCAGCCATCTCCTAATGGTTTATTTAAAACCTTACGCCTAGTTACAAAATCAAAGCATAAAAAGTGGACAGACAATCAAACAATGACAGTACAAACTATTCTGTTTGATAAATTAATAAAAACAGTAGTATGGTTATCTATCTTGCACAATTAAACACACATGCAGTTGTATCTTTTAGAGTACTTCCTCTTTCATTATCATATCATTATACATTTTGGATCTTATTACTCTTTCAGTTTTTTATTTTTTTATACTAGAGAGACTATCTAATAATCTTACTGTTATTTTTTTTGAAATTCTGTATTATTTTACCCTTTTTTCCTGTTTTGATTTTTTTCTCTAAACAAAAACCCCCCTTAAGCCTGTGATCCACTAAAGGAAGGGCCTTGAGTAGCTTCCGGCAGGGGAGAGGCAAAGTGGGTGACCCTGAAAGTCAAAGGCATCAATGAGTGGCATTTGTTACAGTGTTACTGCTGATCTGATCTGATACCGGTTGAGTGCTTTACAGGCACTAAATCTTTTTTGTCCCAAAGCAAATACAAGGAGGGGCTGGGATTTGAACCTTGTCCTGCCTAAATTTTTCCATTTCTTTATTCTTGGATGATTCTACTTCCTATGGGGGCATTTTTCTGTGAGGGTATCTTCTCCTACTCTGGCCATTCCAGAAGTGCTGGTCAGCAGGAGGGGACAGCTCCCCTACAACAGGGTGGAGGAGGAATGCTGGGAAACAGACTCAGAGGGCAATAAGCTCTGTGGCTGTGTGTCCTGTACCCCCTGCACCTGCCTGGTGGGATTTGCCAAATCTTTGTCTATCACGTACTGATGCCCACCTATGGGCTTTGCTTTGGGCCGTGCCCAGCACTCAAACGCTGCTCTTTCCTACATCTGTGAAATATCTCTCTCCTTCCAATCCTGATGGCACAGCCACTCTGCTCTCTTATTTATGCAACTCTCTACCCTCAAAGTACACACACACACACACACACACACACACACACACACACACACCTGTGTTCTTGAAGACCTTTGATCCTGGAGACCAACAGCTAGCACAACCAACAGATACCAGACAAGGCCCTAACAGCAAAAGGAGACATGGAAGGATTGCCACAGGTCCACGTGGTGTGGGAGGGGCTTCTGCGCGGGCTTGCCCTGGACGCCCCTCCTTGCTGCCCAGCTCTGGCTCTCAGGGGTGGGGGATCCTGGAGAATGCTCTGCTGCTGTGCAGCCATCTGCGAACGCACGCTCAGCCCTTTCCACGGATTGCCATAAATCATCCTGCCACGGGCTGCTGCTTCTCTAAACTTCCTCTGCTGTGTTTACATCTCGGGTAATGGGTAATGAGGGGCGTGGGGAGGTCGGCCTGCTCCAGGTGGTGTCCTAACCAGGCACTTGCAGCCCACACCCCATTCCACCCCCTCTTCCTTGTATTCTACTCTGCAGTCAATAAACCCCAGCAAGGCCTCAGGTGACCCAGAGCACTGCAGCCCAAGCCTGGTCTCCTGAAGCCCCCAGCCCAGAAGCAGATGGAAGAACTGTGGTGTGGTGGTGGTGACGAGAGTGAGGCTGCCTTGGGGTGGGGGAGGGAGGGAGAGCCCAGGCAGGTGCCGGTGGGAAGGGCACACTCATGTGGTGGTGGGTGACGAATCTGATCTTTAGTGTTAGAAGCAAACACTCCAGAACTCTGTGTGTTCTTAGGCAAGTTCCCTGATCCGGCTGAGTCTATTTCCTTGCTTGTAAAATGGGTTGGCCTCTCGTGTCTCTTGGCAGAACTGGGACACAGTAGGTGTGAGCGCCTGGCACAGAGCAGAGCCCAGTGAATTCACTTGTACCCCTCCTGGAGCAGACAGCAGGAAGCAAGCTCACAAGTGTGGAGGAATCCTGGCACCCTGGCAGAAATGGACCCTGCAGGACCTAGGCAGGACCTGTGGGAAGTGAGGAAGGGAGTGAGGGTCTATGTCTGGGCAATTTCCTGGTGGCAGTGGGGAACTGCAGGATCACAAATGGAGCCCGGACAATGGTCAAAGGCCAGACTGGGAGACCTGTTAGGTCCCAGCTTCAGGGCTGCAGGCAAAAGAGGGAGAGGACAGAGAAGAGGAGTGACTCCTGTGGGACTCAGGGGGAAGAAATGAGACTCTGAATGAAAGCTCTCAGGAAAAGTTCTGTTAGAAGGGCTACAAATGTGCTCTAGAATGCCACCGAAGAGATCTCTACTGCCCTCTCTCTGTAGGTTGGAGCACTCAAAAAGGTGAAGTTCCCCAAGAACCAGGGAGCCTGTGCCTTATACCTGGGCCTCCTGGGGAGCTCAGGGTCTGGTTCTGCAAGAAGCAATGAGAGACTTTTAATCAACAGGCTGCACTTTGGTAGAAACTTCCTTCTCCACACTGACCAGATGGAGGAGAGCTAGCCAAACACTGTGAACCCACTGGGATGCAGAAGGGCCTACTCTGCACCAAAGAAAAGCCATTTTCTTCTCCTGAAACTGGGCTCTGTATTTCAGACTCATGTGTTGTGCAAAGGAAACTGTTTGGAGTTATTTGCCCACATTTACCTTTCAGATACAGTTAGGGGATGGGGGCCTGTTGCTGGAGCTGACAGCCTAGCCTCCTTTCACGCTCTGGGCTGGACCCTCTGCTGGCTCGGTCTCCTGGTCACCCTGACGAGCTGATCAGAGTTGCAAATGTCCAAACTAATTGCAGCTCATAATTAGCTGCCAGCTCCTTCTCTTCCATAAGCCTTGCTGGCAGCCTGCAAGCCTTGCTCCTTGCAGAAGGAACTGCCTTCACTCCTAGTTAAAAGGCCTAGGCCATTTGTGGGTGCCTGACCCAAATGTGTCTCAGCCAATAGAGCTATATCAATGGCTCTGCGTTGGGCTTGCAGGGCAGGAAATCTCTGCAGAAATACATTTCCAACAACCCAAGTCAGGTGCTTTGAAACCAGTGCCCAAAGGCTTAGTGGAACCAATATTGATTTTCTGGAAATCTCTTTAAAATATATCCTTTAAAAAACAAAACAAAAAAATATGTATCCTTTATGATGGGAAGGGAGGGATATATTCATCTTTTATCAATGGCTGAGTATCTGGCTGGTGGAGAACCAGAATTTGGGAAGTGGAAGGCAGCTCCTAATTCCCTGGGCAGTGGGCTCTCCAGCTGTAGGCCTTCATTCATCCATAAGTACAGTTGGGCCAGTGCTTCCCACAGCTCCTCAGAGGAATCACCAGGTGCACATTCACAAGGTTTCCTGGGACCCTGGACATTCGTTTATTTAAAAGTACTGAAGGAGATTCTGTCCAGGTTGTTTAGGAAAATTTTGAGTAATACCTGTAAGGTCCAGATGAGGACCAACTGCTGAGGCATTAGGACCAGGGCTGGCCTATTGCACTGGGTGGGGCTCTGCCCTCTCACTGATAGTCTATCCTTGGGATATTCTCGATTCTTTGGTACATCATTTACTACATATGGAGATTCCGACCACACAGGGGAATCCAGGGAGATGGCTCTGTACAGAGGCTGCAAGTGGGAGATGGCAGACAGTATCTTGATGATTACAGGAGCTTTGGTAACAGACAGGCCAAGAAAGGAGGCAGAAGGGCCATACAGAAAGAATATGGAGGGACTCAGTGCATTAGGATGATTTCTGCACCTGCCCATTTACAATGTTTTACCACAACATAACAGTGACAGTCTGAGTATTGGGTATCAGTTACCCTCTGTCTCCTTTTTCATACAGAGTGAGTCTGCTCTGCAGCTTCTCTGTCATAGTCGTTGCTCAGACCTTCTAGGTACAGGGAGCTTAGGGCCTATTGTGTACCAGGTTGTAGTGTTTGCTCCTAGGCCACAGAGCAAATGGAGCCCCTTGGAATACTGGATGCAGCCTAGGGAAGCCAAAGCAGACTTATCTAGTGCACCTGAGTAAGTTTCTATTTTCTTCATCTTTCCAATGCAGAGAATTATACTTGCTCTTGTATTGAGAATGAAACTGCAAGGTCAGATGTAAATGTTTCTTTGTGAACCCTTAAAGGCACTCCTGGGGACCCTTTGTGCATGCCAGTCCAGAAGTTTCCACTTAGATATCCCTTGGTGTGGTGGCTCAGAGCAGGGCTCACCAGTGACAGTGCCCTGGCCTGGGGATGCCAACACCCAGCGCCTGGGGAACCCCCTCGCTCTAACTCACCTGTCTTCGATTCGGACCCAGAGGTCGTTGAACTGCCTTGGCCGCTGGTGCTTGCTCTGCCTCTTGTGCCACTTCTTCTGTCGCCCAAACTCCTCCAGCTGGCTAAGGCTGTCGGGGAGCAAGAGGTGTGGGGACAGGGCTGGATCCTCCTCTTCAGGGGTGGCAGTGGGGGTCACTGAGGGTGCTTCAGGGATGGCAGCGGCTGGGGTTGCAGGGGCTGGGCTGGCTGAAATCTCCTCAGGAGGGGGTGCTGAGCTCCTGGCAGCAGAGCTGGAAAGGGGAACAGCTTGTGAACATGTTGTGCACGTGCAACAGGGAATGTAATTTGGTGAGAAAGTTGACACCGCAGAAGTCATTGCCAAGCTGCCTCTGCTGCACCCAGCAAAAGGATTGAGGAAAACCATTGTCTGGGGTGAGAGACAGAGCATTCATTCCTTCCTCTGATTTGGCTAATGCATCTTTATTGAGCTTTCAACTTGCAGGAGACACTGGTTTAGGGATTGAATATTTGCAATGACCCAAACAGATGCTATCCTTGCCATTTTAAAGCTCACATTCCCAAGCTAAAGACAGGAAGCCATACAGGATGGCAGATGCCTATAACTACTTAGGACAACACAGGGCAGAGGCAGGCACAAGAGCATGGTGTATGCTGGTCCAGGAAGATGGTCTGTCACCAGCACATGACATGTGAGCCCCAGACTAGGAGGGGATACGGGAGGAGCCCTAGACATTTCTCTGGGGTTTCTGTGATCTTGGTCAGGGTCTCACTCGTCAACAGTCTGAGGGGCTGTAAATGACACCCAGCCTCACTTGCGCCTTGGTCTCTTTTCTATAAATGGAGCTATGATTGCATGTACCTCACATGGGCTTCAGGAGGATGATGTAGGGAAACACAAGCAAAGTGCTTCTCACACTTCCTGGCAATAGGAAGCAGCCCAAGCAGCCTAACAGTCAACACTATTTGTGTCGATCACATTACTTTAATTCATCCCACCTCCCTTGCCTTTGTTCAACACACATCTACTGTGCATCTGTTCAGGGGATGGGACACGGTCAGATCCTTAGAGCCTGAACTGGAGGCAGACAGATGAGAGGTTCACATCTGGCTCTGCAAAGTGCAGGCTATGAGACTAAGGGCTGACTTTGCCATCATCATCTCAAGCAGTGACACCACTAGTACTTCTTCCAAGGGGGTGTCACAGGGATGGGCAAAATGAAAGCTCAGCACATCCTGGCACTAACAGAGTCTTTCTGATTCAACCAGTGGGCAAAAGGGACCTGGATGTCATGCAGGCAAGGAAGTGCCATGTGAGTGTACTTGTGGGATTCATGTCCCATGTCGGCACGCACACATGAGCCTCTCAGTTGAGGTGCATCCTCTGCTTTTCTGCTCTTTATTTTTCCCTCTCTGTGATTCCAGTGGAATTCCTCTGGGAGGAAGGTTGTGAGTCATTTCAAAAACTGTCTGAACAGGCAGCTTGCAAGGGAAGGTGGTACCTAGGATGACAAGCAGCCTGCCCTCCCACTGCACTCCCACACTTCCAATGACTGAGGGGCTTCTTCCTCTTTGAAGAAATAAAAGGCCATCAGCTCAGCCTCTCCCAGCCCCCACAGCAACCCCAGATTCCCAGGGTCCAGGCTGCTGGAGATGCCGCAGCTGTTGGGGAGATAATTCAAAACAGTCAGACAAAAAGATAGATTCAGGAAGCACCTGTGACTGAGGATAGCTTTTATTGTTAGAGCCTCCTCAGCAGCCCTTCCCCCCTCTACCCTGCCAGCTGCCTGCTCCCGTGTGTAGGAGGCTCAGCCTGAGAGCCCTCAGAGCAGAGACTGTTGGGGGTATAGTCGGGGACCCCTGTCTCCAATGCCTGGGCTCCGAAATGAATAGCAGTTTCTCCATCCTCCAGCCTTGTGGGCTGCCTGCCTTCTGCATCCTGGCCAGCCACACACAGGGAAAGCCTTGGGGACATGAAGGCAGGGGTGGGCGGGGGAGCAAAGGGAACTTGAGGAACACCTTGACCCTGAGGCTACCTTGGATCTCTCAAACACCCACAGCACTCCATACACACCACTGCATGCTGGGCTCACATAATTTCAGCACTAAAAGCAATCTTTTAGATGAACCCAGAAGATGAAAGAGGTGGGAGGCTGGGATGGTGTCCCAGTGCCAGTGTTGGTGAATTCTTCTGGAAGGACCATGCAGCCAGGCGAGCTTTGGTCTGTGTCTAGGAGACTAGTGACTTATGCTCTGTGTGACCCCACAAGCCTCATCTCTGAAGGTGAGGTCACAGGTATCCCTAAGCCCTCATGCCGCCACCAGAGTAGGAATAGAAGTGATTAGCAGCTCAGGAGGATCAGGAACTAGACTTGTGTCTTCCACAAGCTGTGTGTCCTCCTGCAGGTGCCTTCACTCCTTCTGGGCTCAGGCTCCTCAATGATAAGTTAGGGATACTCACAGTTCCTGCCTTGAGGTTGTTGTGAGAATTAAATGAGATACAAGCATTTAGAGTCCAGCACAGAGTAAGTAACCAACAATTATTGGCCATGATTATTCAAGATTCTCTTGGACTCTGGGTCTTGTAACATCAGAGACAGGAGTAGAAATCATGCTGTGCTCACCCTTGAGTGCTGGTGGGGAAGGTTCCTGCATAATCTGGGGCATGAGCTGCACTGGGCCCTGAGTTTGAGGGTCCTGACATTGACTTCCAGGGCTGCCCAGGACCCGACCTGGTTCTTGTCTGGTGCTGGTGGAACTGGTCCTTCCCTAGGGTAGCTTTCGACTTGGTGGGAGTGGACAGGAACTCCACAGGAGGAGAGGATGGGGGACAGTGGCTCTGTGAAAAGTGTGTGTGTCCCTTAGCAGGAAAATCAGGAGCTAGGGACAGAGCTTTAGGTGGCAATGGAGAAGGTGAGGGCACTGGGGGTGGAGCAGCACAGGGAAGGAGTCAGGATGCAACATATCCTCCCATAGCACCATCTTGATTCTGAGTTGGGGCATCCACTGAGTCCTCCAGGCAGCAACCAAGGGGTCACTTCCACCTCATTTCCCTAATTTACCAGTGTTGAATCCCAAGCCTCTTGTGAACACTAGTGCTGCTCACCAGGACTCCCTGATGGGATTTGCACATTTCCACTGCCATTCTGGCCCTTCTGTGACCTCACATCAAGAGTATACACAGACCTTCTCCCACTCTTCTGTCTCCAGCTCCCCTCTGATCGTGCTGCCTGCTCTGCCCTGTCCCTATGAGGACCCGTTTCACCACAAGCTTCCTTCCCACTCTACCTGTGGTCCTGAGCAGGAAGGCAGGGGCAGCCAGTTATGTAGCACATGGTTCCATCTGAGCCATGGCCTGGCAGTGGTGGGTCAGCTGTTCAGTTCCAAAATACCCGTCGATGCTCACCTGTCGATGGCCTGCCCAGCAGGTGTGTGGTCCACTTCCAGCCCTGCTTGCCGCAGAACGTCAATGACAGTGTTGTTCCCCAGAAAGTGTCCTGCAACACAAGACACAGAGTATGCTCAGCCACATGCCAGGCTGCTAGTCAGTGGGGACAGCTTTGAGCCACCGCCTGGGCCTGTGTCTGGGCCAACAAGCTCCATCAGTCAATGCCCCTGACTCTCTGAGAGGCAGTATGGCCCAGTGGGTAAGACACGGTCCTAGTGCTACCATGCCTGGGTCCATGTCCTGGCTCTGCTGTCACAAGCTTCCCATACCTCACTTGCCTCACCTGCAGAGTGAGATGATTGTAATGTGCTTTCCAGGGTGGCTGTGAGAACAATAGCTACTGGAGGTATTTCCTGCTGTATCACTCACTGTTACTCCTCTACCAAGCTTTTCTCTCCAGTCTTGCTAGGCCCAACTCTAAGAAACCTCCTGCCCCAGCCCCAGCAGGCCCAGAGCTCATCTTCATAAGCCCCACCAGCAAACTGTGCCTCCTCCTTTCAGCCTGGGGGCAGGGTCCCTGTGTTCTTCATGGGTCTGCTCAACAGGCCTCAGTGGGCAGAACTCACACAGCCACTGTCTTGAAAATGCTAAGCATGGTGGGCTGGGTCCGAGCATTCATTTGTTCACCATCTATCTCCCCAGCTTGTGTGCCATATACATGGTGGCCCAGATGCTGGCACAGCCACTGAGAACTCACTGAGGTATAAGATCACAGTGGAAGAGACACACTCCCAGCAGCATAGAGAAGGTACAAAAGAAAACCGTCCCTACAGACAGCCTCCAGAGGAGTATGAGAAGAGAGGAGCTGGTCTTCCTCTCACCGCCCTCTTGCTCTTCATTCATTTAGCATTTGTGATATTTTCACTCTGGAGCCAGCTCTGTGCTAAACACTGAATACTGAAATGGGTAATTTAGTCTGAAGCCCCATAAAGGGGAACTGCGTAAGGGAGATGCAGGCACCAAGGTGGGAACTCAGGGGAAGCCTTGTGCAGGTTCTGGACAAGAGACTCCTTGGGAAGGCCAGTGACTGTGAATGCAGGTGCTCCTGGGAGTCAGTGTCCATGGATACCCCGCTGCCTCCCAGGTCTCAGTTTCCCCACCTTTCCAATGTGAGCAGGGTCAGCTTGGAAGGGTGCTTGCCCAGATCTGGGAGTCTGCCCTGTGGCCCCACTGACCTGGGCAACACTCTCCTCTCCTGCTCATCATCATTTGGGAACCTGGAGGAAATCTCACTCTGTGATTCTGATTGCCTATGACGGGTGGTGACAGGTGGGAAGGAGGGAGGTCAGCATCCTGACAGCTCCAAGGAGGTGGAGGGGAGTAAATGGACAAGTGGGGGGCTTCGGGCACAGAGGGGCCAGTGGGGCCTGCACAGGGGCTGCCACCTTGCACATCTCCCCCAGCCCAGCCATCTTTCTCTTCCTGCCTGCCACAGTCCCTGCAGGCACACCTGGGCATCATGGGAAAGATTATTGGACTGGGACTGTCAAAGGGCTCTAGCCCAGCATCCGCTCACCCCGTACCTCCAGTGAGCTCAGTGTCCTCCATGGGTTGCACAGTGTTCAAGGCTTCTCAGTCTATTTAGGAGGCTTTTGTTTAACTCAAGACCTTTATGAAAAGACATTTCACCCTCCCTTTCCCCTCCAACTGAGTACATAGCTAGTGCTGGACAGCTGTGAATGGTAAGAACAGCAATGGTGCAATAGGAACAACACAGAGGGGGGCACAGAGGCTGTGAGGGAGCCTATGTAGGAGGCACAGAGCCAGCCAAGGGCAGGGCGGACTTCCTGGAGGAGGCACTGTTGGTGAGATGAGGATGGAGGGCGTAGCACCGGGCAGGATGCTCTAGGTGAGTGGCGCAGCATGTGTGAAGCTTTGGGAGGCTGGAGGTACATGCTGGGCACTGGCCTCAGAGGAGACGCTCACAACACAGGCGTGACCAGGCCCACACAGGACTCGCGGCATGCAGCTCAGCACAAAAGACTCAAGCTCCTGCCAAGTTCTGTATCTCCCCTCAGCCTGGGATCCTGAGCAGTGGCTTCCCTGCCACTGCTTTCCCGTGGATAAGCTTTTTCAGCAGCTGTAAAGCCACCCTGGGGCAGAGGTGTACAAAGGCCAGAGTGTCATCCTGAGCGATGAACTGGCCTGGGCAGAGCCAGCACGACTCTGGCTTGCCCCCTTGATATAGTTGGGCAGGAAATGCAAGGGAAGTGGCAGCCCCCAGGCTGCAAATTGTATCCCAGCAACGTTCCTCTGCCCCAGCAGCTTCTGTGAAGACTGCCAGTAAAGACCTGGGTCTTGTGCCCAACTGTTGCCCTTCCTCTATCCAGGATTCCTCAAGAACCTCCAGGGAAGACAGAGAGCTTCAGGTGCCCAGGAGCAGCAGCAGCCTGTTGTGTGCAGAGTGGCTGGGCCGAGCCCAGGGTCACGTAGTGAGGTCCATACTGCGGCACAACTCTGGCACGGCCCTGACCTCAAGAGCCTCACAGGACTCTGCTGGAGCCTGAGCCTCCCGTGGCACTGTTTCCCAGGTCTGCTCAGTGCTCGGAGCCATTCTCTCAACCTCAAGGCTCCAGCCAATACTGCTCTCCTGAAGACCCCAAAGACAAAAGTTGAGGTTGTGGCAAAACTGGAAGCAATCACTTTGAATTCCCATCGTTCCTTTCTCCTTTGCCGAGCCACGCTGTCCTACCTCTCCCTCCCCTGTGATGGGAAGAATGGTGCCCTGCTGCTCTTCACCCAATCCTGGAAGGCAATGGTCCACGCAGCTGTGTCCTGCATGGACACAAGCCCTGCATGCCCAGATCATGTGTCTGCCACCCACACGCTCTGCGGCTTGGTCTCAGGGGCCCTCACATTTGGGTTAGTTACAGCTGCATTTCCCAGCGCCCATCCTGTTCCACTCTGTGTGCTGCCCACGTGCCCTCTCCCCTCCAACTGTGTCCTCGGTGGGCTCTTTTTGCCTGTCCAATAAGTGGCAGGCCCTGGGTCTCCTTCCCTTTACCCAGGCACAAGCATGTGCCATCCCCATGCCACGCTGATGGCGCTGGAATTGTCGCCTTAGTCATCTCCCTTTGTCCAGCCACCGAACCCTCCACAGAACCCCATGCAGCTTGCACTCTCTCCCAGCAGGTCCTGGGCCCCCAATGGCTTTGCTGGCCCAGCCACATCACCGAGTGGGCTCTTTCTCCTCATCTTCCTAAAGTCACTCTAGAGGCCCTGATGCCACCTCCTGGACTTGCTTTCCTCTCCTCACTACAGCCAAATGGACTTGCCCACACCCCAGCGCTGGCAGCTGGAACACGTTCTTAAGGAGCCATGTGATGGCACTGGGAGTTCTTCAAGGGTTGGGGCAGGCCTGACTCATCTTTGTCCTAGAGCAAGCCTAAATCAGGAACCCTGCAGTGGCTTTGTGAATGTTTGTTGAATGAAGGAGTAACACACCTTCTTACTCCATATCCTTTCCATGATCTCATCTTATCCCTAAGAGACCTGGGTCCTTTCCTTTCATAGTGAAGTCCTGTTCTACTCACTGGTCATCCTCCTTCTGGTTCCACCAGTCCCAGGAGCCTGGCCCTTGCAGCAGCCCCCTGAGTCAGGGTCCAGTGCATGCTGTCCCCAGGGGCGGCAGACAGGATTTAGGTTTGCCTCCAGGGTGCAAACTCTTTAAAAAGAACCACACCCATCCTGGAACTTGCAGGAAGGTCGTGGAAAATTGACAAAGGGCCCCATGGTCCTGGTGTTCAGCCTGCCTGGCTTGTCCAGGCTCCCCGGGTCTCCTGGCCACTGCTCAGCAGCTTTCTCCAGCACTGACTTCCAGCTGTTCTTTGGCCAGCACTGTGCAGGAAGACATGTTCCACTTCATTTGCTGAGGCTGCACGAACAGCAGCAGAGGAAGGAGAGAAGGGATCACAGGTGGTGGGGTGGGGCACCGTGAGCTTGGGCACAAGGAGGGAGGTCAGGGGACAGCAGAGACTTCAGAGGAGAACGGACGAGGGGAGCTCTGGGAAACAGACAGCAGGAAAAGGGGGGGAGGGGAGATGGGCCTGAGATGGGCAGTGAGGACAGAATGGTAGGGAGAGAGGGAAAGGAGACAGTGAGATAGAGAAAGAGACAAGGACAGGCCAATGAGATGCGAAGACACAGACACAGAGAGGGAAATAGGGAAAGGAGGAGGAGGAGTGGATACAGAGAACCCGGAAGCTGGAACGAAGGGCAAGGTGCAGGAGAGACAGCCACTGCAGCATCCAGGGGCTGATGAGGGGCTGATGATGTGGATGTGACTGGAGGAGACAGGGGAACAAGGAGGTTGAGGCTGGCTTGGTTCCCATCTCCTTTGAAAGAGCATTCATTTACAAACTGGAAAGGCTGCCCTGCTTAGTGGTAATATGCCCTGTGTGCTCCAGAGAGGAGAAAAACGTTCATTTTTACTGGGTGCAAGCAAGACTGTGCCAGGGTAGACTATGTGGGGAGCAGAGTACAGGCCAAACCTAGCCCTGACCTTCTTCTGGGCACAACCCAACAGCCCCCAGTGACCTTTTAATGGAGAAGGCAGGTAGGACAGAGCAGGGACAGAAAACCTGGGTTGTCAGCTGCCCGTGTGGCCTGGACGGGTTCCTTCCTTCTCTGTGTCTCCCTGTCTGCATATGGCCCTGGACCGCAAGGTCTCCTGGGCCCTCAAATCTCTGCATTCTGTTATGTGGGGCCCCCAGTGCAAAGTGCTTCTCAAACAGTATTTCAGACCCTCTTTCTAGCTACCCTTGGAGGTGCCCCATCCAGAGATAAGGAAACTGAGGCTGGGCCAGGGGATGGGACTTGCCCAGTCATACAGCTGCTACGAGCAAAGCTTAGACACCAACCCAGTGATGTCCCGGTCCACTCCCTGCTCCAGGACATCCACTGGAAACTCCTGGCAGCTGTAAAAGATCCTGAGTTCATGTCTGGGGGCAGGAAACTGTCAGAAACCTGTGTACCTTCCAAGGTTCAGCATATTGGAGGGAAAAGTGTGTGAGTGTTCGGCAAGAACAATACACCTATTAACAGGGCAGTTTCAGGACTGTGTTGGGGCCGGGTGGAGGAGGGGGCAGAACCAGATGTTCCTCACAGGCTCCAAACAACTGCGGGTTTGCCTGGGCCAACACACATGTTTTCTCTCCAGTGAGTATGATGGGTTTCCAGTTTTCTCCTCCTGGAAGAGGCATCCCAAGCCCGTATTTACGTTCTGTCTGAAATTAATGCAAGGGAAACCTTTAAATGCGAATCTCATGCCAGGGCAGTCCACGGATGTCAAGCTATGGTGAGGTTTGTTTTTCCAAGGAAATGTAACAAGAGGGATGGAGGGTGGGGTAGTGGAGGGCTGGACAAAAGGAGGCATGCAGGGTTCTCTTCTCTCAAGGAGTATGCAGAAGGGAAGGGGCAGACTGGAGCTTCTGTCCTATTCTCCTTCCTGCCTACCGTAGAGCTGGAACTGCTGAGCTCAAGACTGCGGTGACACTGTCTCTGTACCCTGCAGGTGCCAGGAGCTGTGTGTCACCTGAAGAGATGGCCACGTGGAGGGCAGCCCCACAAGCAGACACCTACAGGCCAGCACTGTGCAGCGATGGACAGGAGCGTTCTCCATGTGGCTGAAGGGAATGCATGCGATCAAATGGGGAGAGGAGGCCACCGGAGGCAGCCCAGGCACAGAGCAGACAGTGTGGTGCTCTGTGGCACCGAGAGGGGTGCTGCAGCTGGATTATAAAGTGAGGTAGGTTCTGAGATGGTTGGGGCACAGGGGGCAAGCTGTTGGATTCTGACTGCTACAGCACAAGGCGAGAGACAAGTGTCAGCCAGGACTGAAGAAGGCTCCCACAGACAAGTGTGGAGTTGTGAGGGAGGCAGCGTTCCATCCCCGAAGGCATGTAAGGCTGGTCGGTGCTGGACGCCCTGAGCAGGGCAGGCGGCACACGTTTAGATATCTCACAGGGACTGTGATGTCTGGGTGGAACCAGGTCCCTTCTCCAGCAGCCTTTATTTCCTTTTCCTCTTGGAGGCTGCTGGAAGGCAAGCTGTCAGAATCAGAGAGCCTTGGGGCATCTCTGCCACATGGCAAAGGTGGATGCAAATCCTGGGGGGCAGCCACCCCGCCCCCAGCACTAAGTATGCCAAATGCCTTGATTCCTTTCTCGTTCCACCTCCCAACAACCCTACTGAGGCCAGTGGAATCTGATTCATGTCACACAAGCAGAAAGGGGCAGAACTGGCCCATGGATGGCACGGGGTGTATCTGTGCCATGGCACTTTGTAGAGGTAGCTGTCAAGGCAGGAGTTCTGGACTCAGGGAGGCTCCATTTGGGACAGCATCTGTTCTGAGACCTGACGGATGGTTGCCCAGGCTGAGAGTCCTCTTCAGGACCTCCTCCAGACATGCCCTTCCTCTTAGAAGCCGTTCTTCTGGGCTCTTTCATTTCATTTTGCTTGTTTTAGAGGCCATGCAGCCTTCTACCTGTAAGTGCCCCACCTTGGGGTGATGCATCAGCACTGGGGGTTTTAGCCAGCCTGGACCCTGAGAGACTATGGCCCCCAGTACTTTATCCCAAAGACTTTCCTGTGACTCATTCCACATAAGACCTGTCGCAGGCCCCAGGGATCCCAAAGTAAAGTCAAGCCCTCTTTCCTCTTGGGTGAGACTTCTTCCAAAGTAGGCAATGGCTTTGCACAGGACAGAGCTTGTGATGGATTCTGCAGACCACGGGGCTCAGTGTCCAGTTCAGGCATCATTGTGGCCATGGGAATCATTCTTCAGACATTCAGAGACCCCTTTCCTGTAAACATGCACCTCAGGATGCCAGGACTCCCTGTTGGCAAGCGACATGGCAGGGAGAGAGGCCTGTCATTCCAAAGACTCACTGTTGCCAGAGCTGACCCTGACTACTGGGATCTCCCACTTCTGCTTCTCTTCCCCAGGTACCCTTCTCTTTCCTGAGCAGGAGTCTTGTCCTATTAGGACTTAGGCTCTTGAAATGGGGGCTCCTGAAACAACAATGGGAGGGCCAGAGGTCACAAAGATGGAGTGGTCAGCTGGGGATGCTGGCACACATGTGCAATCCCAGCACTCTGGGAGGCTGAGGCAGGAGGATTACAAGTTTAAACCCAGCCTGGGCAACTTAGCAAGACTCTGGCAAAATAAATAAATAAATAAATAAATAAAAAATAAAAACAAACAAAAAGTTTGGGGCTATAGTTTAGTGCAAAGGCCCTGGGCTCAATTCTCAGTATTATACACACACACACACACACACACACACACACACAGACACACACACACGAAGAGTGATGGTGTCCTGCAAGCACCGAGCCACACAGGGTCACGCCTTTGACTCTCGGGCTTGTTTCAGAGGAGAGCTGAGGATAGGGACACAAGAAGTGAACCGAACTGCCCACAGTCTCTCTGTGAAGTCCAGGCTCTTAATCCATGGCCCCTTGTTTTCTGCCTTCCCCAAGCTTCCCAGAAGAACGCTGAGAACACAGAGAAAAGAGTCACAAGCCTTTCTCCACTGACAGCACAGCTCCGGACACAGCCAGGACCCAGACACTCCCATCCTCTCCACTCTGCTTCACAGAGGAATCACAGGGCAAACTCGGGAGGGGGAGTCCTCCTCGCTGGCTGGCTGCTCTCGGCTGAAAAAGAAACAGTGTCTCTGGCCAAGGATTGTAGTTCACAGTACACATGCCAGCTGCCAGATGTCCATGTGGTGGGGCGGCGACAGGGCCCTTTGAAGCACTGTCCTTGGAAACTCTGAAACACTTCCGGAGGCTGTGGCCGTGAGCTCCAGGCTGGGGAGCCTGGCAGGCAGTGGGTCCTCGCCTGGGAGAGGAAAAAGCAGCTGGTGTGTGCTGCCTCTCATCCTTAAAGTTTAAAAGCCCTGCTGGACCTTCTATAATCATAAATATGGTGCTGGGGTGTTCGTGCCATCAAAAGAGAAGTGCCTCCCTCTATATCTTGTTACATCATCAGCACATCACCTGCCTGAGATAAAAAATAATAAAATAAAATAAAATGTGCTAAGTGGAGCATCAGGCTTCAATTCCTGAGCTCTGAGTGGAACCAAGAGGAGAAGGAGAGAAGTGTAGGTCTTGTCCTGAGGACTAGAGGGACCATGAGAGGACCTGGAAGGATGCTGGGGCCCTAAAAGGGACATTTCACAGTGCTCACGTTCTCTGACCTCACACGCTCCCTTCATCTTTGCTAGCAGCAGGACCCTGCTGGAGCCAGGCTGGCAGGGACCTCAGGCACTGCTTTACCTAAACTGCTCACTGTGTAGATGGGGTGGGGAACCGCTTGGAGAAGGTCACATGGAAGACTTCAGAAAGCACGAGGTTTGCAGGATACCAGCCTGTGTCCCCTTTCTGCCCTCATGTCCTTGAGTTCACTCTCTCTTTGCCCTTCTTTCTTTCTCTTCTCTATCATTCTCTCCCTAAACACCTTGCGACTTCCTCTCCCTAAAAACTCTCCTGTTTAGCTCTAAGGCCTCCACCCTAGCCTCTGCCTCCATGGTTTATTCAGCATGTCCTGGGAGAACTCTCTCTCTGTCTCTCTCTGTCTCTCTCTCTCTCTCTCTCTCTCTCTCTCTCTCTCTCTCTCTCGATTCTTAGGTTTTCTCATTTTCCATCCAGCTTATCTTTCAAAAGAACAGATCTGATGCTAGCGCCACCCATCACGTACAGCACATGTGGGTCACAAGCCTGATTTTGCTGTGGGAGGGCGCAGGAACAGAGGACAAGTCTGCTTACAGATTTCAGAGTCAGGGCATTCATTCAAGTGGGTAATGAGTAGCTTCTCAGTGAGTGTCTACAGCAGTGAGAGAGGAATCCTGGAAACATCATGGGCGCCCAGCACAAGAGGACAAAGGTGTTCTCTGAAACAGGGAGGGTGGGTTTTTAGGGGGGTTGTACCTCAGAAAGTATGGCTTACCATTTCACTCCGTCTCTGAGACTCTGATTTCTGAGCTGCACCTCTGTGCAACTGGCTGTCAAATGCAATAAGAGGTACCATCCTGTTGCCCTCCGGGAGGAACTGAAAAGGTGGGGGCCAGATGAGCTGATGGATATGGGTGCTCTTCAAAGAGGCTAGTGACCATTCTCCAGGGAGCAGGACAATTGGTATTACTAAAAAGATGTTAATGGTGATTGGTATATTGGGCTTCTCTCTCCACCATCAATTTAGATGTTTATCACTAATCTGCTCTTGTCCCTGCCCCAGTAGTATAGTTCTGATTATGGGTCTGCAGTGCTTCAGCAAGAAATAGGTGTGAGGCTGGAAGCTGGACACAGTGTGTGCAGGTACACATCTCCAGTGCTCAACATCCCCCTGCCTTTGAACTCTTCAATCTTGATTTCTATCGGGACCTTTTGCCACAATGAGGGATTTGCAGATCCTGGAAAGCACTTAGCTCCATCCTTCTCCTAAGAAACCCAAATGTAGGTGAAGCAAACTCTGTAAGAATGTTACAATGCTGTGATGCGCAAGTGTTACTTGAACCAGGCAATTTTAGAACACGATACTGGTTGCGAGGATTTGAGGATGAGAACCACTGGCGTCAGAGTTGGCAATGAATGAGGCCTATGGGTTCCTGGGCCTAGCCTAGAGTCTGTGTGGCCCATGGCTTCACTCCAGATCCTCTGATCCCTCTATTACTCACTCTAGTCTCAGGGGGAAAAAAAAAGAATATAAAAAATGAGGATTCTTGGATTGCTGAACAACTACAGATTCCAAGAAAACCTATTTCCTTGGAACTAGGGTTAAAATTTTCATTTTTGTCTAGTGCTAGAGACAAATACTCCTGTTCATCTCCACAAGCTCTGTGGCCTAGGAGATACCATGTGATTGAACAGAATGAAGGTGACAGTTCAGATGTCTTTCTAGAATATCCAGCAAGTGTTAGAAATCCTGAGGCATGTGGGCTCTGTCCTGCACCTCTTCCCAAGCAATAGGAGGTCACAGAGCAATGGATACTGGGATGCATCAGGATTTAGGCCTGGAGGATGACATGTGCCTTTACACCTCAGCTGTTTGGTGTTGCTGGAGAATATCTTACAACCTGAAACTTGACAGGGTCTTGGGCCTCTTTCCTAGCAGGCAGAGTGGGCTGTGGCAGGTCTGTGCCTGAAAGCCTGATCCACAGCAGTCACTAGGTCAATCTAGTGTCTTCTTGCTGAGCTCTGATGTGGCCTTGGCCTTCTGTACAGCACCAAACTCCAGGCAGCCGCTACCAGGCAGTGATAGGCAGACCCTATGTTAAGATCTATTTAACTTCTTGTCCTGGCCAAGTCTTGTAGCCAGTCTCTTGCATTTATACCAAATGTTGCCCCTTCTTAAAACCAAAAGCCCTCGTCTTCCTCCTTTTTCTGTGCAGGTGGCTGCACCTCCCACTTTAAAAGATGGCCCTGAGAATGGAAGACATCAGCTGGGAACTTGCTCACCTTCCCACCACCAAGCCACCTGCCTGATGGCCTCTTCCCTCCTCCTTCCCTTCAGTTTCAGGTGACGGGGTGCGTTCTGCTACCCAAGGACAAACTCCACCTGAGCTCTAGTCCCTCCTTTCCTGCCTTCTTGAAACATCTCTCTTCCTGTGAAACAAACTCAGCCATTCCACTGAATTCTCCCATCATGTGTTAAGCATGTTAATTATTTTTCATTTTAAAAAACAAAAGGACTGCAGATGTAGCTGAGTGCAAACCCCTGGGTTCATCCACAGTACTGGAAAAAAAGTGGGGATAAATATAGTTACTACTTTTTTATTTTGCCAAGTAAGGACTTTGAGAATCCTTTCTGCCTTCCATCACCATCATTTTTTTAAAAAGGATGTTTTAATTTGAAACACTGTAAAGGAGATAATTCCAGAATGTAAGATAAAACCATATATTGTAAAAAATTTGCCATTGTGTACTTGTGTTTTTACAGTTACTTGTAGATCAGAAGAGATCCAAGGACACTTCCTCCATCTCTGAGCGGGTGAACCGGAAGACCCTGTGAGGAGGGGCTCAGGCTCAGCTCGTCCCAGTGCGGAGGCCTTTACCCTCGCAGGCCAGCACACCCATCCATGGAGGCAGCCTGTATGCCCAGGAACACCTGGGCTAATACACTGGCCACAGCCAGCTCCCAGAGAAGGAGGCTTCCATCTGAGCCCCAAATGCCTGCTCTGAACCTGCAAGGTTCAGAGCCACCTCTACAAGCAGTCACAAGGCCACACTGCCAGAAGATCACAGATACAAGAACAGTGCTTTGCTGTGAGCAGTGTCAGCTAAATAGATACCCCTTTTGAACACATTTTCCCCATTTCTAGATGTGGACCGCAAGGACGCCATGTGCCGGAGAAACTGCCAGGATTAGGGTCCAAGAGGTCAGGGTTCAAATAAAAGTTCTGTCTGCATTGTCACCTCTCCACTCTGCACCTTGGCTTTCATCTGAGAATGTGGATGCTGCGATGAAACCACCTAGCAGTGTTGCCAGAGAGTCTGGAATGGCACCTGGGAAGGGTTTTATTCTAAAAACTGCTGCGCCATGAGAGACAGTTTTAACCCTATGATGGAAAATGAGTGGGTCTAGCATAATCCAACAAGGTCAGTGCATCACCCCTGCTTTATGGATGCCAGACCGAGGCCTCAAGGAAAATGGCTTTCCCAGTTACCCTGGATGACAGCAGCAGTGCCTTGCTTTGTATCTAGGCCTCGTGACTCGAGGCTCTTCCCCTACTTACTGGAGCCCCTAGAGAGCGGCACTGAGGAGGGCAGGGCTGTACTCAGGACTGCAGCGCTCAGTCTGCCCTGGCAGTCTCTTGGGGATTTTGGAGCTGGGGTAGGTTGGGGAAAGTCTTAATAAGTCCTAGAAGGTCCAAGCAGGTAGAGGCTCAGGCTTTTACTTTTGCTTGTGGTGTTCCTCCCAGAACTATGGAATATAGTCCCTCTAGGGCTTCAGCTCAACTCCAAAGCTGGGATTGTAGTGAGAAGGCAGAACTATGTTGGGCCTGGTTAGGACACCTGCCGAGGTAGGGATGTGGGTGGCTGGGTGTCTTGTGAGCATGTTTCTGTTACCTAAAATATTCCCTGGAGACACCCCCAGAGTCTGACTCAAGCTGAGAGGCAGACACATGCCTGGGAGTGGCTAGTGTCTTCCCAGCAGTGTAGATGCACTCTCTGTTTCATAGTCTTGCGGTGCTCTGTTTTCTGAGGACCTAGCAGGAAAAAGGCCCAGGGAGGCCAGCTGAGTCCTAAGAGACTCTGCTCAGTAGTTCAGAAAGGCCCTGAAATGGACTTGAAAAGGCACCAGACAGGAGCGAGAGAAAAAGATGGGCTGATTGCAGCTGGTGTGCACAGAGGGAGTGTGTGGCCTGGCCTTGCCTGTAAGTCCTGCAGCCTGTCCTCAGGTGGGCACTCAGAGTGACATGTCCATTACAGTGTAATGAACAGGGTGGGCTCCTCTCACCCAGATTTTGGGTGGACACACATGTGCCAGGAACAGTGAGCTGACTCTAACAGGCCTGCTCTGCCAGCTTGGTGCCCTACAAGTGGTAGCACATGGTTTGGGGCCTGTGGGTTGTTCTTGGTTCTGTTTGCAGCTCATTGAGCTTTGCCAAGCTTCTGCCCCAGTGAGCCTCAGTTTGCCCACAGCCATAAGGTAGTGGGCAGGCTGTGAAGTCCTTGGGCTGAGCCATTTGCTGTACAGAGTGGGTCATTTGTTCCTGGTGTGGCTAAGCCAGGAGACGCAGCAGCTAACAGTAGGCAGGATCTGCACAGAGCTTTCGTTTGCAGATAGTGGGGTCCCTGAGAGCCCAAGCTGGGCTTCCTCTGCGCTTGCTCTGCCCTGACCTTACTGCTGCTCCAACCTAGTAAGTGCACCAGGCCCAGAGGAGGCCAGCATGGGAGGCTATGATCACTGTTCATTCATCCATTCATTCTTTTACTCCTTTATCTTATTCACTCACCAGGTCAAAACCTAGGGCACACTTCCAAAGACAGAGCGATGGTTAGGTGGTGGCTGCTTTCCCACCATGCAAGGGAGACAGGACCACTTGCCACTTGTCTGGAGGCTGGAGCTGCTGGTGGCTTGAACCAGGATAGTGGCAGCAGGGAGTGACAGAGTAAAGGATGTGGGGTCTTTCTGGTGATCTATCAGCAGGACCAACAGTGACTGACTAACTTTTTGGAGACCAAAGAGACTGGATTTGGCTGTGGTGTTTTTAGGCTGGCCTGGTGCCTGAGTGGTCATTCATGTGCAAGGACTTGGAGTTTCAGGAAAAGAGGTAGTGTCCAGGGCTCCCCACACCACTATGATTTGCATACTTACAGCCTCAGCTTCCTCGACTACAGAAAAGAGCTGGTGCTAGGGACCTCTGGCCTGAGTGACTGTCCTGGGCCTGGGGGAGTCAGGGTGGCTGCTCACTCTTGGGAGGCAACTGCTTCTTTCCATGGCTTTACTGGCCGGGGGCATCTCCCAGGCCTAAGAAAGTGGACTCAGGGTGGCTCCCTTGGGAGGTCAGCTAAGGTTGTTCTAGCGTAGGGTGAACTGGAGGAAGAGGAGAGTAGGTACTTCAGGACACTTTCTTGAACAGGTCCTCAAAGCATTCCTGCCTCATCAGACCTCTGGCAGGTGTCCTGCAGCAGGAAAGTGGCCCTAATCTCTCCAAGTGGCCAGTCAACATCCTGCTCTTTCTGGTTTTCTAGACCTCTGTTTCTCTGACACCTGCTTGTGAACAGCTCCTGGAATCCTGGAAGACTCAAGCAAGCCCTAGCTCTTTCTATTCATATGAGCCAACTGAGGCTGAGAAAGACGAAGGGAATTGGCAGGGGCCACAATGGGCCAAGGAGAGCTCCAGTGTGAGCCCAAATGCTTTCTGTCCTTCTGAGGTGGCCTTGACAAGGCTGTCCCAGAGGACTTGTATCATGTCAGAGCTCCCCTTACCCCACCATGTGCCTCTATTGCGCAGGGACTGTAGAGGAGGGAACAGTGGCCCAGGTGGATGTACCTGTGGCTCTTGCCATTGGAGTATTTGGACTTGGATGGGGCCACAAATCTCAGACTATGGAAGTTTCTCCTTACAAAATCAGCATGCCCATGAGAGCTCAGTGGATTAGACTGAGAACAGGATGTGGAGAACAGAGTGTGTAGTTGACAGACCAAGAAAGGAGAGGCAGGGGACAGCATCTATGAGTGTGGCACCAGGCATGGCAAGCACAGTTACAAGCCATCTCAGTTCTCACGAGACAGGGGATAAATTCTGTCACCCTGAACGGCAGGTTACAAAGAAAAGCAAGAGCCAAGACAGGCTGCAAAAGGGTCCCTCTTCCGCTCTCAGAGCCCAGGGCTCTGGCTCTGCTGGGTGTGGCTATCTGAGGCTTAAAGAAGCCATAGAAATCCTCAGAAGGGGTCACTTCCCTTACCCAAAGGGACATTTAGTAAAAAACCTTAATCCCACGCAGAGCTGCATTCCAGCACTGTGCAGTTGCCCCACGCTCTTCTGGGATTTGGTTTTGCTTTTGATGGAGGTGCAGTCAGGGGCCAAACCTGCTCCAAACGCGAAGAAGCAGATCTTGTCCTCATTCTCCCGCAGCAGCGTCATGACCCTCTTTCCCATGCGCTCGTTCCTCTTGTAGATGAGCTCCTGGCGGAAGTAGCTGTCAATCTCCTGGGCTGTCACCTGCTCATGCGGTGGGAGGGTGGTGTTGAGAAAGTTGGGCAGCTGCAAAGGCAAGACAGAGGCTGCCTTCAGTCCTTGAGGGGCAGGAGCACCTGGGCAGGGCTGGTGATTTACCTTTCCTGGGCTGACGGGGCATCCTGGTGTTTTTGGGGGGGATGCGTTTCTCACCCATCCCCAAAGTCTTTGGGATCAGCACTACTGCTCCTATTTTATGAATGAAGCCAGCAAGAGTGGAGAAGTTCCCAAGAGATGCAAGAGGAGCAGCTGAGTGCCCCAGCAGCGGGACTCCCACGGGCGTCTCCCTTGTCTCTGCCTGGTTTAGCTTTAGTGCTCAGGAGCTGAGGTCCAGCGAGGCTGGGACTCCTCGCCCAAATGACTTCACTTCAAACCCTAACTCCAGCACTGGTGCACACCTGGAATGTAGATCAGTGAGAGGGGATGGAGAGTCGGCCAAACTGCCTGGTATAGCAAGAAGGCTGCGGCGTGAGATTAGGCCAAGTTGGGCGTCAGCCCCTATTCTGATGCTGTGTGGTGCTGGGTTAGTTATTCACTTTTCTGAGCTCCAATTTTCTCATTTATAAAATGGGACTCAGGATCTTAAGGGATTAAATGAGATAATGTGTGCTCCTGAGGGCCTCACACTAGAGATAGGAGGAGAAATGCCTTTTCCCATTTCCCATGTTTAGGTTATCATCTATCCACTACTGGCTCCTCCACCTCCCAGGATATAACCCTTTCCAGGAAACTAACTCTGGGACCCTGACAGGACCTAAGATGGCGCTTTTTTGGCATCTTGTCTTGGAACAGATCAGATTTCTCAGCTTGGGGCCCTGTACCATCACCTCCCTTCCCACACCCAGTCCCATGGCGTGGCAACAGCCTCATGGATGTACTCTTGACCTAGGCAGAGGGCTTCCCGAGTTCGGGGATGGAACCTTTATCATTCTGGGTCCCAAGTGCCTGGCAGGGCCCTGAGGGGCCCTTGGACTGGAACATGAGGTCTTGCTGCTCCTTTGTGATCTTAGCTGCCCTTCCCGTGTTCTTCCTTGCCAACATTTCTTCTTTGCAATCTGGATGGCAGGTCGAGGTGTTCCAGCATAATCTCCTCCAAAACACGTGTGGGACCATTAAGGAAACCAGGGCAGTGAGTGAGAATATATCCTTCTTCCTCACAACCTATCAGTGCCATTACCACTTGCAGGCTCACGTTCACAGGATGTCTCCCACCTTTTGTCTCTCTTCTATTTCTTCAACTCCCCCCACCCAGGCACACTGCAGAAGATGCCAGGGCTAACTGGCCGATGGACAAGGTTGTTCATGGTGCAGATGAATTTCCTGCAGGTTTTAGCCCCTAGAAAGGGTCAAGCAGCTCACTCCCTCAGAGCTTAGAGTCACTGCTAAGTTGACATCATTTCAGAAGAAAATGGAGCAGTAAGGCGGAACTCCGAGGGACAGAGGAGGCTGTGACATCTGCTTTGTGCTGGCGGAGGGCCAGTGGGTTAGAAAAGTATGACTCACTGCCTGGATGAGTAACAATAACTTGACTGGTGTCTCCTGCCCTTGTGTAGTGTACAACTTCCATGGCTGTATGTAGCAGCACTACTAGTTCCCAGTGGGTCAGAAGAGAGCTGGTGCCCAGGGACTTTCCTACTTTAGACAAAGTAATGGTGTTACTGGCGACAGGCAAACCTGACACAACAGGTCACACTTGATACAGCTGCAGAAAATACCAAAGGTTGCTGTCTTAAGGAGGAAACAGAGGCCATGACTCAAGAGTTTTTCGTAGAAACAAGTATCTTAAAGACCTCTTTCCATTCCTTGGGTATGGGTGACAATTCAAGACCACGTTATTCCACAAAGAGATATTTGTTCAGTGAATAAGTGACTGAGTGAATGGGCTGAGGGGCAGAGGGATCACGCAGGTCCTGAAAGCATGGGGGCTGGGATGACTTAGGTTGGAATTCTTATTTTGCTGCTTACTCCTTGGGTGACTTTACTAGAGAGTTACTTGGTTTTTCTGAGGCTCAGTTTCCAAATTGGTAATATAAAGGTAATACACAGTGTTGTAGGGTTAAATGAGTTTTTTAAAATTTCCCAAGCTGGGCTCAGATTTTTTATTTTATGAAACAATAAGACAAAATTTCATAAACAAATAAGATAATAACAATAGTTATACTGTAAATTGTTATATTCAAACTAGTTACTTAGAGTGTAAGATATAAATCAAAAAAATTTTACAGAAAAAAGCAGATAACACAAACTTTCTTTTTAATGAACTATAATAAACTAGTAGTATAAACGAAATCAATCAGTATATACATTGACATAATTTTTAAATAATAGAATTTGTATTTTGGGGAAGTAGTTGAACTCACTAACTTCTATTTATCTAAGTTTTGTTCTTTGTGTATATATGTATGTATGTAGATTATACATACATACTATATATCTACATGTATACATACTATACATACATACTATACATCTACATATATGTATATATATATATTTCTTATGTAAGAGAAACTATCTGATATGAGAGTATCATCTATATCATTTATTATTATGTTTTTAAGTTGTATCCATTTGCCTACAACTGCCTCATGTTTATCTTTCTTATGGCAAAACAAGAAACTCCAATGTATATAAATTTTATATTTTCTTTATACATTCATCTATTTATGGACATACATGCTGTCTCCAAGATATTACAAATTGTGCTGCTATAAACATGGGTAAGCGTGTATCCTTGTAGTATGATTGTTATGGCTTGTACCTAGATGTCTCCACAAGCCTCATGTGCTCATAGGTGGGGCTTTTTAGAGGTGGCTGGATCTAGGGTGGGTGAATATGGAATAAGGGTATGTGACAGCTAATTTAGTCTCCTGATTGGCTTAATATGGTTCTGGGTATGGATAATGAGAAGCCCCACTTTGGGTGTGGGTGGCATCAACAAACAGGCTTGTTGCCTGGGTAGAATACAAACAGAAAACAAGGCTTATTGCTTCTTTTTGCCTGCTCTGCCATGGACTGTTTCTCCTCTGCCACGTCCCTCTGCCATGACACCCTGCCTTGGAGCCAGCTGACTGGACTGAAACTTCTACATACTGTGAGCTAAAATAAACCTTTCTTCCATTAACTTGTGGGTATTGGGTATTTTGCTCCAGCAGCAAGCAAAGTAACTAAGACAATGATGACTTTAACTTTTGGGAAGATACCTTGAAGGGGAATAGTTGGGTCTAAATGAGTTTTGGAAAGTGCTTAGCACAGTGCATTTCACAAAAGAAGTCTTGAATAAAACGTCAGCAATTACACACTTAGCCTAGGGCAGTGATGGCTAATGTTTTAGAGAAGAGCGCCCAAACTGCAATCCAAAACCCACTTAACCTACTGCAAAGTGCCAACACTGCAATTAAACTTGAATACTGAGGTTTTAGTTTAGAAAAAAGTAACCTATACATTAACATCTTTTGTCCCTAAAGAAAAAGAATGCACATTGCCAAAGCTTCTTCACTACTGACCTAAGGGATGGAGCTGGCTTCATTACCTTCCCTTGCAACACCACAGCCTGCCAGTGAAGGGTGGCCTTGGATGGGATGGAGGTGGAGACAACAAATTAAAGGCCATCAGAGTCATCAGAGAGCCGGCTAGGCAGAGTTTCACTTCCCCTCTTTCAAGCCTCCTTAAGACCTTTAGACACACAGACCCTCCCTCTGGCACTTCATGACCACAACGTGCACTGCCACAAAGAAGCATCTCCACTGATTCCTTAGGGAGCTGAAAAAAAATCGAAGAGGACAAGAAGCAAAATGCTAAATTTCAAAGCCATGAAGGAGTGAGTTGGGCTAGACACTCAGTTTCCTCAGGCTACAAGCTGCTAGTTGACATTCTCTGCAGGTTTGATGCTAATGGGTTGTGGCTCTGTGCCAAGGATGGGGCCTGGGTTTGGGCCAGGGCTTGGATGGAAGCAAATTAATGATGTCATTAGGCTTGTCAGGGGGCTTAACTCTCCCATGACAAGTATAAGTGCAGGACACATGATAACATTTTAAACAGGACATTCAAGGTCTCCAGGGTCCTAGAGGGAGAGGTCTGGGATGGGGTGACAAGGAGATGCCTGGGTAGGGCTGGGTCAGGTCTAATGCTTGGGTCAAATGACACAGATCTCAACATACCCTGCCCTTTACACAAGCATTCAGCAGAGACCTGCTGAGAATGTCCATGAGTCCAGGTCTGTTATGCCAGGAGCCAAAGAGCTTCCTTAAACTGGGTATCTTGTCTTTGATGAGGCCCACAACCCAGGGGGAGAGTCAGAGATGCCCACAAGAGTACTATGGGGTACAATGAGGGATGAGGGGACACATAGGGGAGGCCACTTATTCCTCTTACTTATTCTTATTCTCCCCTATTAGGGGAGGCTCATTCCAGGACAGTCCCAGCTTTGTGGCTGGAGATGGCTCCACATCTGCTAATTACTTGATCCTGAACTATATTTCACTGTCAGAATTTACACTTGAATTTGTATAAGACGTATCTGCAGCTGCTGTATACCTCAGGCTGACTGGGCACCCAAGGTAGTCTTCCCAGGATGGGGACTGTGAGAACAAGGCACAGTCACTTCAGAAAGTGAGACGAGTGGGCAGGACATGTGTGAGGTGTTGGCAGAATTATCAACCTGGATCTGCACCTGTCTTAACTATGGCCTCCAAAGCTCACTTCATCATCCTTTACGCAGTAGCCTGAGGCATCTCTGAGCACATCACTCCTTGTTATGACTCTCTAGGACTCCTATTTTCTCATCCTTGCACAGCCTGCCTCTACCTGACAATCACATTTTCAGGAGCCCCGTGTTCCCACTCACCCCACCACCAGTTTGCTTCACTTGGCCACCTGTACTTGAACGCTCATTGGGTAGATTCCTCTCTCCAAAGCCCCATCTGATTGCAAGCGGTGTGACTAGCCCTGTAGCCTCATATCCTCAGTTCCCCACAGGCTTCCAGGCCTCCAGCTGCAGATGCAGACCTGCCACAGCCAGCGGTTCAGCTCTGCTACCCTGATACTAGGCTTTCCTCATTCTTACCTCTGGGACAAGGGCTGTCCTCTCAGCAAGGGGCCCATCCTACCTGTGCTCCTGTGTGCAGCCTGGTTTGCTAATCTAATCTGGGTGGACCAAGCCATGCATCTCCTTTCCCACTTTAGGTACAGCCACAGCTGCAAGACCCCTGATGAAATTCCTGATTGCCAAGGACTACTCAGTACCTCACTTTAGCTCGAAGAACATCTGAGTTTGCCACCTGCACCCTGTGCCTCCTTTCCTTTACTTAAGGTCATAACCTGGGCAGGGCCTCCCTGAGGGCTGGCCCCATCAGAGCCATCTCGTTCTGAGTTGGGATCAGGGCTCCTCTGCCACAGAGCTCCCCCAGCCTCTTCCCCAGTGGCAGATGCAGGGCAAGGACTTGCTACAACGTGGCACACTGGTGAGGATTCCACAACCTTTGTGAGGTCAGGATTCTCTGTCCTCCCTTACTTCCTCACTGCCAAGTCACAGCCCTTAGAATCCTGAGCCATCTCTGGCAATTCCTCTAGCTTGTTCTTCTTTCATCTTCCAAGCTTTTCCAAGCTAACTCAGGCCGCAGTGGTTCACTGACACATTCTTCGTGCCAGGCCCTCAGGTGCCTCGGCAGTGGGGAGCCAGAAATGAGCAGCATACCCTTGGGAGATCATGTTCTAGGGCTGAGGGCAGCAGTTACAGAAGCTCCTGGTCTCGACCTCTACACCTTCAGAATGAATGGGTGTTCACTCCTCCCCTGCTCCCTGTCTCTGGCTTGTTTGCATATGGCTTTCTCCACTGGGCCATTCTTCCTCCTGTCAAAGGCTAATATTCCAGGTCTTTTGTGGCTTCTCACCTTGCAAGACTCTTTCCTCCTGCACCAGTCCTATCTGCATTAGCTGTCCCTGCCATAGACTCTAGCAGCACTGTTGCTCCCCCTACCAAGGCTCAACGCAGAGTGCCAGGAGAGGGTGGACCACACCACGGCCATTCTCTCTGGTTCCCCACCACATTCCTTTGCATAGCTCTGGGCCTGGCATTTACACTGATTTCACCCATTTGTTCAGCCAGTATTCACCCAGTCATATCCTGGGCCTGGAACTAGCCAGTTGGTAGACTTAAATGAATAAAATGGACCTGAATCCTGCCCTCACGGGCCTATCATTTCAGTGTGCAGGGCCAGATCGTAAGTAGTGTCTAGTGTATACATTAGGCATCTGTCATGTGGCAGGATCTTCCAGGCCATGGGAAAAGTAAAGCATAATAAATGAGAGGGTGGGAGTATGGGTCAGGTTCCGATCCAGAGAAGGTGTCCTCATTGAACTGAGACTTTTTTGATAAAGTGGGGGGCGGCAGAGGGTGCTGTTGGTGGAAAGTGGACAAGACTGAGGGGGGTTCTTGGAATAGTAAGGAGTCCTGTGCAGCTGGGGTGCATGTGGGAGGAGGAAGCCTGAAGAAAAGGGGTTGAGCCCACTTAGTGTCATGAGAAGGAAGTGGCCTCTTTAGCCTAATTCAGATGCTTTTTGAATGAATGGTGATTCAAGCATCACTACAGAGGAAGTCAGGACCGGAGATGTCTGGGGATACTGAACTCCATCCAGGGACCAGGAAGGTGTCTCAGAGCAGGTATCATTTGACCATGGCCAAGTGGGAGGGACCCAGGGGAGGAAGAAAGAAGTAGCTGCATCAGGAGAAGAGCGGAACTTCCATAGGTTCCCAGAATAAGCAAGACCTGTGGGGTGGGAGGCCTGGGCCAGGACAAGACCAGATGAGGCAGATCCCCAAGGGCCTTAAATGTTGGGTGAGGAGTTTGGAATTTATCTTGGAGCCTACTGGCTTGGTGATAAATTTTTCTCTAGGACTTCAAACTGGACAGAAAGCTGTGCTGGACTCAAGTCCAACCTCAGAATCACTGTGGGCTTTCATTCCCTAGGGTCTTAATTTCCTAAAATTTGAACTGAGCCTCTTGGAGACTTCCCTGGTTTTACATGTTAAGCATCCAGAATCTCAGACCCCAGAGCCATGTAGATTGGCTCACACTGCTGCTCTTGATAACTCGATAATCAATAGCTAATAAAATATTTGGCCTTGAATGGTCTCTTTCCTTCTCTGGACCTCAGTTTTCCCATCTATAAATGGGAGTAACTGGAGCTCCTGCTTCTCATGGCTGGAGAAGATAGGAAGGTTCGTCTGGGCCTGGCCTGGAGTCTTTGCAGCTGGTGAGCCAGAGGCTGTCAGGCCGAGAAGTGGAGGCACCTCACCTGGGATGTGTCATGGTTGAAGATGACAGCGTTGAGGTCTCCACAGTTGTAGTGCTTGATGAGGTCCTCTGTGGTATAGGGCACCTGCAGGCTCCCAGCCCGCACACTCTCATGCTGCAGCAGGGTCTGGTTCAGGGCAAACAGCACCTGGCCAAGGGAAGAGAGGGCAGTCAGGGCGGTGCTCAGGGCTGGCTGTCCTCTGGGAATGGCCCTCTTCCCTCTAGGCTTGGGTGTAGGACCCAGCACCCGCTGGCTCAGCAAACACTTCCACACTTCCTCCTCTGTCCACCACTCTGAGCACTGATGCCTGCTCTTAGCTCCAGCCCTCTCCACAGAGCTCCTCCTGCTGGACTCAACCACTTATCTAATAATGGGCAAAGTGAGGACCCTTCTGAGACTGGGTTTGAAGTTTTGGGTAAGTTTTTCTCTCAATTCTTTTGTGTTGCGTGCTTAGAAGCCTTCTAGGAAAAGCAGGATCATTCATTAAAAACACATGTCAACAAAACAAAGCAAACAAGGAACAAATAAACAGAAGCCCAGTTAGGCACCAAGGCCCAACCCAAAAGCCCTTGTTGTCCAAGGGGCTGGGTCCTCAGAGCCCGGCCCACACTCTCATTCAGATGGCATATGTGTCCTCAGTTCTTCTGTCTTATGGCCACTGCACCTGGCCTTGGGGATGCAGCTGTCCCCAGCCAGAACCGCTAGGTGTCAGGTCAGCTGGGGTGCTATGCAAAAGTCAGTTGCTCGGCCTCATCTTCTAAAATCAGAATCTCTGTTTTCCAGAGGTTCCCTGGGTATTTCCTGAGCAGCCCAACAGGCTGTAGCATTTGAGGGTCATGACTTTCATGGTTCCCAGGGTACAAAGGCCTTGGAAGATTGTCTAGCCCGGCACTTCCATTTTAGATGCAGAAACTGAGGCTCAGAAAGAGGAAGGCACTCTTTCAGCCATTAGGCTGGAGCTGGAGCTGGAACCAGGTTCATGTAAGTATTTCCAGAAGTCTTTGGCCAAGGGGAGGGATGAACATGATCATCAACAGGTTATGTATCACCAATGGGGAGAAGAAGCTTGCTGCGATCCCTATGCAAAATGACAGGAGGCGACCTTGACCTTAGGCCTTCCATCCCTGCTGCTTCCCAGTTGCAGCCGGTGCCCTCAGTCCTGAGGCTCTGCTCATTCTGTTTGCTCAGTTCCATGGATGACAAGGCCCAAGCTCTCGGCTCACACCAATTTCCCACTGGATGCACAGCAACAGCCCCTCCCACTACCTGTGCCCTTCTGTGATAGTCATCTTTTGAAATGGCTTCCCTCTTTTTCTTCCTTATCCAAAATACTCAGCATCCCTTTTGTCTCCCCGTCATTGGACTAGTTTTCAGGAAAGCTCCTAGGCAGGCACCTAGTCCCCATCATGGTCAAATAACTTCACTTCTTATACAGCCTTCATGGCTTTGTTATGGTTTGGATCTAAAATGGTACCCGAGGCCTCATGTGTTTGAGAGGTGATTGGATCATGGGGTGCTACACTGAGTTGCTTGTTGTGTTTTAGGAAGTGGAGCCTGGAGGAAAGAGGCAGTTCAGTAAGGGCATGATCTGGACAGGTCTAATTTCCTCCCAGGTTTCTCCCTTTGGCTCCCCTGGTCTCTGTGGGTAGTACCTTACAGATTAATAGCCTCATCTCTTTATCCTCCCTATACCCATGCCCCTCAACATGGAATTTTAGAGCTCCCCTCTATTTTAACATTGGACTGTCTTCAGCCACATAATGTCAGGAATCTTTACAAACAAAATCGGGTGTTTTAGTTGTTTTTCTCATTGCTGACAGAAAATACCCAAGATCCATAAGTTAAGTGCAGAAAGGTTTATTTAGCTCACAGTTCATAGAGGTTTCAGTTCACAGTTGGCTGGCTGCAAGTCAAGTGGCATGGCAGGGGAGAAAGAGTTCACGGTGGGCAGAGGCAGGAAGCAGTGAGGTAGAGAGGAAGCAAGCCACGAGCAGTCACAGCAGACTTCTTTCTGTCCCTTGTATTTTATGCAGGCTAAAAGGCCTTAGGTTGGGTGGCACGCACACCCAGGGAGGGCCTTCCCATTATCTACACTCAGAACTATGACAAACCAGTCAGTGGACTAATTTAGTAAAAACACACCCTAGCATATACAGTGGATTCAGCCACCACTGCAAGAGCCCCATTTATGATTGCATGAAGATTTAGGGGGACATCTAGACACAGCTATAACATAGGGCAAACATTGGGGTGCTACTGCTGCTTCACATACCTCTGCCATGGCCCTGAGAATAAAACAGCCTGCTGTAGGATGAGACCTAGACCAGCCAACAGCGGGCAATTCCCAGATATGTGAACCAAGAAGATCAGCAGAACCTGTCCACAATTGGCTCTAGCTGCATAAGCACTAAACTCCACTGTTGTTATACAGCATAATTATGGTGCCAGGTGATTAATGTGCTATGCTTCCTTCTACCATGGTGTGAAAATTAAGTTGTTGTTTATATTTAGTTCCAGCCACTCAGTAGGCTATGAGCTTCTTGAAGACGTAATTGCAACTTATTCTTGAATTTGTATATTCAGCATTGTGCCATGTAAAGATGTCACTTGTTTCTTTTAGCATCTTGACATCTGCTGTGGCTACTTTCTAGTTCAACGATGCTTGTTAATCCCTTAAGAATCATCCTTGGAACTGGGCATTTCTATCTGCCTTTTGAGATAGGAAACTACCACATGGTAGAACTTCCAATGAAGACAGATAATCTGAATAAAAAGCTTCTAAAATAGGTATGTATGACCTGGCCAAATTTCTGACATGTGCAACAGGGCCAAACTTGTGCTCCTGAGAGCCGCTCCACTCACCCCCATCTAGTTTGTTAGCAGCTGGCAGCAGAGCTAGATGCACAGGATGCAGAACCACAGGCTGCTCTCCCTAATGAGCTGGCTAACGATGAGGTCAGACCCCCACCTCTACCCCACCTCAGAGCCTTCTCCAGGCCCCTGGGCTCTGGCCACCACCACTGAAATCTGATCTGCAGCCATCTGGTACAGGGTGTCAATGGCAGCATGGTGGCTGGGGATGGATTACAGGAGGCGGTGGCCCTGTTACTGTGCACATTGCTAAGGCAACAGGCACTTCCTCCCACACGGCATATGCCGTGTATGAAAGCTACCATGTCAAATTGATCCCTTCTCCTGCTCTGAGAGCCTTGGACCCACAGACTTCCCTTGACCACACCCGGCCTCAGTACACATCTGCTTGGCCAAAGCACCACCTGACCTGTGGTGAGGTCATTGGCCTAGGTGTCAGAAGATCTGGCTGGAGGAGAAATGGCCCCCTTGGACCCTTCTTGACTCATGGAGTCACTTCTGCAGTCACATGGCCTTCATGCAGTAGGGAGGTATTCTAGAGGATTAAGTATATTACAATCTGTAGGGTGTTAAGAATAGTCCTGGCATGTAGTACTGCTGAGTATGTGTTGGTTAAATAAAACTTAGTAGAAAATAGACCTCAAACCTTCCCAGCTTAGATCTTAGAGCTGGGAGGGACCCTAGAGGTCATCTACTGAGAGGAGTTCAAACCATTTTTAGCCATGGAATCCTTTCCTGTTGCTGTTGTTTTCCAAAAGAACTTTGCTTGGAACTCTAAATGTGGAGCAGACAGAAATGTTAACTTGGCTGGTGATGTAAGAAAGTCATGCTAGCGCCTGTAAGTTAGGCCAAGTCAGTGACCGCTGTAGCAGGGACGCTCATGGTTGGATATCCTGGAGTCCAGTTTGAGAATCATTGATTTCATCCTATGCCCTCAGCATATGAAAAAGGAGAGGAGACAGAGGTCCCAGAGCAGGTAGGCTTTCCCAAGATGACACTGTGAATGGAAGCAGAAGGGGCTCAGTCTCAGTACCCTGACTCCCAGCCCAGGGCCCTCTTCAGGTCCTTAGACTGAAGGCTGTGGTAGGATCTCCAGATTTCTACTGGCATGGTCTGTGTTCCTCCACACTCACTGTCATACCCATTTTCTTTCTAGATCTCTGTGAAATAGCCAGGAATGTCTGGTGTTGGTGTGCTGCAGATAGGAGATTATGGCCAGATCGTTGAAAAGGTTCATCCGTACCCTTTATCAGGAGAGTGACAGAACTAAGACTGAAACTTGTTACGCTTGGCTCTGTCCACTTGGGTGGGATTTGGGTCTCCACAGACTCCTGTGCACAAACTCCTTCAGTGGCTCTTATCCCACTGAATTATCCCTGCTCCTTGCCTCTCTTCAGACCTCTGCCTTCTCTCTTCTTTCATGTAACAACAGTGACCACTCAGAGGATACAGGAGAAAGAAGGATGCTGATCCACAATCTGTACGCTTTGTAGTAATCTTCACCCATTTATTACTGGGATCCTTGGTTTATTGTGTACTTACTACGCATCAGGACTTTTATAAATTATTTAATCTTTACAGTAATTCTGAGGTAAGATTAGAAAAGGCAGCAAAGAAAGATTAAGCATCTTGCCAAATGATGCATCTGGAGAGGGGTGAGATGAGCATTTGGGCTAGCCCGACAGCCTGTCCTATTAGTTACCACTGGTCACGAGAGCCTCCCGTGGCTCCCTCAGGAGACAACCAGCAGGGACGATGCCCGTATTTTCAGATGGGAAGCTGAGGGGAATCAGGTCCAAGGCCACACAGCTGGTAAAGGCCAGAATTGGGGCTTGAACTTCGCCAATTTGGTTTCACACTGGGTTCCCACAGCTAGGATTTCAAAGCAACATGTCCTTCATTCTTGATGGTTCCAACCAAAGGGAAGCTGTACCCCATTCATTCACTCATTCATTCATTCATTCATTGAGCAAACTGCCTTTCAGCTGCTTCTCAGCAGGGATCTGATTATGGTCGGTTTTTGGATGTGGTTTCCAACCACATAGACTCATTTTAAGGGAAGAAATGTCCCTGACCATCACTGTAAGTGAGACAAATGCACAGGCTTTAAGTGAAGTGCCGGTCCTGACTTCTGCTTCCTTCTCAGTCACTCTGAATTGCCCAGTCTGGTGCTGCTCAGACTCCCAGGCCACCTTAGAATAACAAACTTCCTCACATGGAGCCTCGGAGCTTCGGTGGCCCACTCCAGGATAATGTTTATGATAAGGCTTTGACAT